ATGTGTGTTTATTTGTTTTTTAAGTAGGAGGCATATGTGAACAACTGTAAACATTTATTAAATCTCAATATATGGGTATTTGTCCTACTGTTTATATTAAACATGTTTTGTAATTTAAAATAAATAAAAATATTTAAAAGCAGATTACTATAATGTGATTCTCTAAAATAGGTGTAAGCAGACCCTTGTGTGAGTTCTGAGGAAGGACTCGGGAAAGCTTGACATGAGTGGTTGAATTTTGGATTGAAGAGCAGGCAGGTCGCAGCCAAGTAGGGAGGGTGGGAGGAGGGGCAGCCGGGGCCTGTGCATAGTGTTAGCTGCGAGAGACCCTCAGCATATCTAGGAAGTGGTGAGTGTTGATGGTCAGAGAGTTCGGGGTAGGGAGGAGGAAGCAGAACCAACCTGTGTTGTGAGGTGGTTCCACTCAAGACGCCCTTGGGTGGGGGCTTATACAGGACAAGTACAGTGTGTTTTTTGTTCCTGTTTCCTCTTTTTCTGCCTTTTCTTGGATTGAGTATTTTTATGATCCTATTTGAGTCTTTGTGTATCTTTCCTGTCTCCATTTAACGTGTCTAATCTTTCCTCAAGGTTTTTGAAGATACAGAATACAGTTATAACAACTGTTTAAATGTCGTCTACTAAATCTGTCATCTGTGTCATTTGTGGGTGGTTGTGATTGATTTTTCTCATCATTATTATTATTATTATTATTTCCTTTATTGATTTCTAGAGAGAGAGGAAGGGAGAAGGAGAGAGAGATAGAAACATCAATGAGAGAGGACATTGCCTGGCTGCCTCCTGCACAGCCCCCACTGGGGATCAGGCCCACAACCTGGGCATGTGCCCTGACCGGGAATCGAACTGGAGACCTCTTGGTGCATGGGCTGACGCTCAACCACTGAGCCACACCAGCTGGGCGATTTTTCTCTTTATTATAGTTTGTGTTTTCCTGCTTCCTTGCATGCCTGGTAATTTTTTTTTTTTTTTTATCCTCACCGGAGGACATTTTTCCATTTTTTGTTCAGATAGAGTGGGAGGGAAAGAGAGAGAGAGAGAGAGAGACAGAGAAACATCGATGTGAAAGGGGCACATCGAGTGGCTGCCACCCGCACAACCCAACCAGGGCCGGGGACAAACTGCAACCGAGGTACGTGCCCTTAGTGGGAACCGAACCCGGGTCTCTCCGGACCGCAGGCCAACGCTCTAACCGCTGAGCCAAACCAGCCAGGGCTGCCTGGTAATTTTTGATTGGATGCCAAGACACTCTGAATTTATCTTGTTGGACACTAGGTATTTTTTATTTCTATAAATATTCTTTACCTTTTTTTTTCTGGGATGTGCTTAAATTACTTGGAAACAGTTTGATTCTGGTGGGTCTTACTTTTAAGCTTTGTTAGGTGGGAACAGAGTAATGTTTAATCTAGGGCTGATTTTACCCCAGCCTGAGGCAAAAGTCTTCTGAGTACTTTGTCCAGTGCCCTGAGAATTAGGAAGTTTTCCACTGTGATTGGGAGAAAGTATGACTGTCCCTGGCTCCATGTGAACTCCAAGGATTGTTCCCGTTAACCCTTTAGAGTGCTGCTTTTCCTGGCGCAGAGGTCTGCCTCACGTGTGCTGCTCAGTGCTTGACTGGAGCTTGCACAGCTCCGTGCCGCCTTGTCCCCTCCTGTGTTCTCTGTGTGGACACCAGTGCCTTGGCTCCAGAGACTGCTGGGTTCCACCTGCTCCTCTGCTGTGGCCCAGGACACTACTCTTCAGGCAGGCGGAAAGCTGGGGGGTGAAAAGGCTCCTCTTGGTTCTCTTTTGTCATGGACCACTGTTCTTAATTGCCTGGTGTCTACTGTCTTGAAAACCATTCCATATGTTTTACCCTTTTATTTATTTTTTAGTTGTTGCAGGTGGGAAGACAAATCTGCTCCCTGTAGCAAAGATAAAAAATAGAGGTTTTAGAATGAAGGCATAAGGTGGCCTTTAAAATAGCCCTGGGACCTAGGAGAATGCTGAGCCCTTTTCTGGTTGGGATGCTTGCGAGAGAGCAGAGGTGGCTTTTTCTTGGGTGATCATCAGGGAATTTATGTGTTTAGGGAAAGAGACGAGGGTAGGGCTTGGGAGAAGGGTTCCATAGGGGAACCAGGGCTATAGAGTGAGATCCTGAGGGCATGGTGAAAGGACAGGCATGCCATCAGAGATGATAGAATCTGGGCTGGAGGACACAGGCGACAGAGGCTGGTGCTCTGCAGTGGGAGGGTGTGGGAGAAGGTAATGGCAGTCAGGATATGTGCCCGTCAAGGGGAAGGAGCATGCATTCCCTAGTTGCAAGTCCCTCCTAATGTCCCGGCTGTCTGGGGCTACAGGTGCCCGTTCTTCCTCCAGCATGCTAAGTAGAATTGTCAGGAAGATGTATATGTGAAAGCACTGGGTCAAGGTTAGACAAAACAGACCTAAGGTCAACCTTATAGAAATGCTTCCTTATTTTGAAAACTATAAAATGCTGAAAAGCCAACTTTGTTGAATTATTTAGCTTGATAATTTGAATTATGAAATGTTAGATGTAAGAAGATTTACCTATTTTAGAAGCTGATAATGTTGACTTATTCCTGGCTTACTAGCACAACTTTGCCTTTTTTGTTGGCTTTAATATGAAATTTTTATATGAAAAACACACAAATGTACACCTGAAACCTATATAACTTTATTAACCAATGTCACCCCAATAAAATCAATAAAAATTCAAACAAAACCAAACCAGAAAAACACAAATGTAGAGAACACATTAAAATAAACACCTGTGTATTCATCACCCAGCTTCAGCAGTGGTCAACGTTTTGCTAATTCTTTTTACATCTGTCCCTTTCCCTTTCACACTTTTAAGATTTGTTTTATTTTTTTTGGTAGAATTTTTTTTTTTTCCTTTTAAATCCTCCCCCGAGGATACTTTTGTATTGATTTTTTAGGTAGAGTGGAAGGGAGGAAGAGAGAGAAAGAAACATCAATGTGAGAGAGACACATCAATTGGTTGTCTCCTGCACAACCCCAACCGGAGCTGGGGATCAAACTTGCAACTGAGTTATGTGCCCTTGACCGGGAATCGAACCCGAGACTCTGGTCTGCAGGCTGATGCTCTAACCACTGAGTCATACAGGTCAGGACTTGGCGGAGTACTTTTGTTGTTGTTGTTGTTGTTAATCCTCACCCAAGGATGTTTTTCTATTGACTTTTTTTTAGATAGAGTGGAAGGGAGGGAGGGAGGAAGGGAGAGAGAGAGAAACATCAGTGTGAGAGAGACACATCAATTGATTGCCTCCTGCACAACCCTGACTGGGGCTGGGGATCAAACCTGCAACCCTTAGGCCTGCTGTTGGCAGGAGTATTTTGTTTTATTTTATTTGTTTATCCTCACTTGAGGACATTTTTCCATTTTTTGTTCAGATAGAGTGGGAGGGAGAGAGAGGAAGAGAAAGAGAGAGAGAGAGAAACATCGATGTGAAAGGGACACATTGAGTGGCTGCCACCCACACGACCAACCAGGGACAGGACAAACCGCCACCGAGGTACGCGCCTTTAGCGAGAACCGAACCCGGGTCTCTCTGGACCGTGGGCCGATGCTCTAACCGCTGAGCAAAACCGGCCAGGGTGGCAGGAGTATTTTAAAAACAAAGTCCAGAGCCCTGGCGGGTGTGGCTCAGTTGGTTGAGTATCATCCCTTGCACCAAGAGATCGCCAGTTCTATTCCAGGTCAGGGCACATGCCCGGGTTGCATGGGCTTGATCTCCAATAGCAGTCGTGCAAGAGGCCAGCCTATTGATGGTTCTCTTCTCTCATTCATGTTTCTCTCTCTCTCTCGCCTTCTCCCTTCCTCTCTCTCTCTACTTTTTTTGTTTTTTTGTGTGTTTTTAATCATCACCCGAGAACATTTTTTCATTTATCTTCAGATAAAGTGGGAGGGAGGGGGAGAGAGAGAGAGAGGAAAGACACATTGATTGGTTGCCTCCCGCACAACCCCAACCAGGGCTGGGGACCAAACCACATCCGAGGTATGTGTCCTTGACCAGAATCAAACCCACGACTCTAGCCAGGGCTGGTTTAGGGCATCTTTAATGTTTTCTAATACCTGTCCATATTCAGATTTCCCCAATAGCTTCAAAAATATCTTTTTCCATTTGATTTGTTCTAGTTAGATCCAAAAATATCTAAATATTACTTTTGATGATTGTCTCATATTCTAGAATAGTACCCCTCTCTATTGCTAAAGTCTAGTTTTCAAAAAGTAAAATCATGACTTTGTGCAAATACTAAGTGAGTAGTCCCAGGCTCCACATGTCCATGCTTTTGCTGTAGACCTTGGAGTCGCTCTTTTCACCAAGCAGTGCTGGTCACTCGACTTGGTAATCAGATGTCACTGTTGGAGCACTTTTAGGTACTTTTCTTCCAGACATTGTGATAGGTTGTCAGTCACTTTGTGACCAGAAACATGTTTTTTTGTTTTTTTTTTAAATTTTGAGAGAGAGAAGAATGGAGTGTGTGGGGGGGGTGTAGAGAGGGAGAGAGAAACATCAATGTTTGTTGTTCCACTTATCCATGCATTTATTGGTTGATTCTTATATTTGCCCTGACCAGGGATCAAACCTAAAACCTTGGCGTATTGGGACGACGCTCTAACCAACTGAGCTACCTGGCCAGGGTGGGAATATGCATTTCTTGAGGTGATATTGCAAAGTTACAAAATTGAACAACTCCATATAGAGTTCTTTCCTGCATCCTTGAAGTCTGTGCATGATATTCCAGCCACTGAGCTGATTAACCAGACACAGGATCGGGGGCATCTGTCATCGGTACCAAACTCTCTAAAACAAAGAAAAGGGAGTTTTTAGTTCCTTCATCATGAAATGTTTTGATAATATGAGTACTAAGTAAATATACTGATTTTTGTTTTACTTTTTCCTACAATTTTGGTAATTTACAAAAGCAAAACTTAAGTTTTTTTTCTTTTTATTTTTCAGGTGAAGCAATTATAAATCTTCTACTGAATGAAAAAATTTTTCTTAAAGTTGCATATACTACAAGAAAAAACCCCAAATGTTTTTATATTTTGCCTGAATACAAAATTTAAACAAGAAGTTTCCACAAAAGGTAAGGTGATTTCCCTTTTTCTGCTTTATTGTGTAATTTGTGCAACTGTCCTGTATAAGTGGAAATGCAAAGATGGACGACAGCAAAAAATTAGTTTTGAAGGGAGCATATAGTTTATTGTCTTTGGTTGTTTTTTTATCCTCTGAATCTGGTTTTGAGAAGCTGTGTTATGGTCTTTCCAAGCCAGGTTGTAATCCAAATAAAATGGGGACAGTCATGCATGTGTGGTGAGGTACCCATGAGCTAGAGCCTTGACACTGTCAAGGGTTCTGCCCAGAACAAACTGCCCATGTGGAAGATGTACAAAGGAGGGAGGGACTCGTGTGTCCAGCCATATTGGGTGCTCCTAAAAAGCTCTCGCATGGCACTCCAATTAGATGCTGGATAAATCACAGTAAATATAGTTTCTTGTGATTACTTCAGTGCATTAAAAATTAAGATACTGCTCTAAAGGCCAAAAGAGAAAAAGGAAAAGGAACAGTGAGCATCATGATAGCACTCCTTTGCTCCTTGCTGAAGAAAACATGAACCGTCTTCAGAGGAAAGCACACGCAGTGTAGGCCCTCGGGATTTTATAGATTAAATTTAAGCAAATTCGAATTTACAGTCAGAAAACACACACCATTGTGAGAAAGAGTTAGCAAAATTAGATGCCCGGAGGCCTACAGATATTGAATAGTCGGGTGCAATATGGGTAATAATGCATGAAGTATTTGAAGAAATATGTATAGAATAAATATTAGTAATATAAAGCAAAGTATCAAAATGATCCAAGTAAAACTTGATCAACTTGAAATGAAAAAAAGTTGAAATAAAAACTCAGTGTATGTGGATTAGACAGATTAAAGATGGCTGAAGACAGAATTGTGAACTGGAATATGTATCTGAAGAAGTTACACAGTGTGCGGCCCTGAGAGATGGGAGATAGAAAATGAAATTAAGAGAAAATGAAGGCTAGAATAAAAATGCATTGTAAATGTGCAGTTGGAATCCCAGAATGGAAGCGCACTATTTCCCAAGTAGTATAAATAAAAAGAAACATGCACCCAGACATTGGAATCATATAGCATGAAAGACAAAAAAATCTTCAGCTAGCAGTAAAAGATCAATCACCTACAGCCTGTAGTCAGTTGTTAGATTGACAGCACATGTCTCATGAGCATGAGTAGCAGCCCATTGAAAGTGGAATGATTCTTCAAAGTGATGAGAGACTATGAATTTCAGTATATAGAATTATGTATTAGGCATATTTTGCAAGAAAAGCAGCACTGTCTTATGTTTTTGATAAATATTAGGCTGGTTATTTGGACTGCCCTCTGTTCTTCCAGCCCTACCCTATGGAATGCAACTAAAATTGTTGGATTAAAAAAAAAAGAAAGAAATCAAAGAACTGAAAATATAGCAAGGAAGTTCTAGACCAAAATATAACAAAAAATAGGGACCCAGAAAGGTAATTCAAGCAGAATGGGATGGAATCTACCTTTGCCCTGAGGGCATTCGAAGATCTGGACAAAGTGGGACTTAGACTTGAGCAGCTTTGTAGGGTATGAACAGTAGTTAAAATCTACAGCCCTCTCAAGGCGAGAGCCTGAAGGAAGCCATCCCTGTACTAAACGGGGTGCAAAAGGCAAGGCTGTATCTGTATTCTCCGAGTTAGAGTGAACTAGAGGCATGCCTGCCTCACTCTATCCCTGCTCCCACCTGGTATCTTTGTACTAAATGTGGCAGGAAAAAAGTGGGAACAATCTTGTGTCTCTAGGTTAGCCTTTGTGAGGACCTATAGCCCAGGTTTATACTGCTTGGTAGTTCAGGGTAATCAAGCATGAATGGAGTTTGTTTTCTGGTTTGGTAATGCCTTCACATATCCTACAGAGAAAACCTCTCTGGAGGAAGTTGCTGTCATCCTAAGATGCAAAAAATCCTTACAGCTACTTTTTTTCCTCCTTCTTTATTGATTTTAGAGAAAGAGGAAGGGAGAGGGGGAGAGAGAGAGAGAAACATTGAAGAGAGAGAACATCGATTGGCCACCTCCTGCATGCCCCGTATTGGGGATCAGGCCCACAACCTGGGCATGTTTCCTGGCTGGGAATTGAACCAGCAGTCTCTTGGTGCACAGGTTGATGCTCAACCACTGAGCCACACTGGCCAGACTCTTACAGGTATTTTTTAAGGACCAAGTACACAAGGAAATAAGGCACCATGAGTGAAAACCAATAGAAACAGAGCCTCTAAAACTTCAGATTTTGGAATGATCAGAAACAGACTATAAAATAAACATGCTTTTTATTCTTAAAGAAATATTTAAATAAGTAAAATATCTGCAGGAAACTATGATCTACAATATTTGAAAAAGAACCAAATAAATGTCTAGAAATAAAGAATACAGTATAGGGTGGGGTAAAAGTAGGTTTACTATTGTGAGTATGCAAAACACAGAGTTTATTCTTGTATTATTATTGATTAATTATTGTATTATTTTCCACAGGAACATCTGTAAACCTGCTTTTCCCCTACTTTGTATGTGGGTTTAATATCGAGTCATGTACAGTGAAGAGGAAACAGTGAGCCAGAAAATGGGAAATCACCCAGGATGAAGCCTAGAGTGGCAGTACATAGTAGAGGTTAGGTAGCATGGAGGGCAGAGGGACAGTCTCTAATGCGTGTTTAATTGTTGTTTTATAAAACGACATGAGGATGGTGACACTATTATTTGAAAAGATAAAGGCTAAAGATTTTTAAGAATTTGTAAAAAAAACCCAACCTGCAGATTCAAAGAGACAAATGAACCATAAGTAGGATAAATAAAAAGATAATTTACAGCTAGTCAGGAGAGAGTATACCTGCAGAGCACCAGAGACAAAGTCAGATCTGAAAATAGACCAGAGAAACAATACAGATGAAGGTCGTCTGCACAGCAGTCTCCTCAGGGCAACGGTGGGCGTGAGGCGCTGCGGAGCTGTGTCTTCACTGCCTGACAGCAGGCATTGCTAACTTCCGTCTGCCTCTGCCCTCCATGCCGCCCGGCCTCTACTTGGCACTGCCACCATCTCTAGGCCTCATCCTGAGTGATTTCCTCCTGTTTTCTAGCTCACTGATTTCCGTTTCACTGTACCTGCTTCGATATTAAACCCATATGCTGTATTCTTTATTTCTAGGTATTCTGTTTGTTTTTCTCAGGCAAAAATTCTTTCAAGAATGAGGTGGAAAAAAGGACAGTTTTAAGAAAACAAAAACTGAAGAGTTTGTCATTGGCAGTTCTTTACCAAAGATACTTCCAAAGAATATGCAGGAAAAATGATTTCAAGTAGAAGAACTGAGATTCAAGAGAGAATGAGAAGCAAATAGAAATGAACATTATTTATAAAAATGATAGTGGCAGTGTCTTATGGAGTAAATCAAGGTGGAGTTATGTAAGACGTGACAGTAGCATATAAATTGAGGAGGGAAATGGTGGGAAAAGTACTCCAGGGGCTTTGTAACAGCTGGGGTTGGGGGAGGCGTCGATTCATTGCAGATTTTAGTAAGTGTATAAATGATACTTCTCAGGGGCCACTATAGAATAGAAACAGAAAACTTCCAGAGTAGCGGGAAAAGGAGTGGAACTTTTCTGTTCCGACAGAAGAAACTTTCAGCAACCCTTATGCTTGGTGACGCCATTGAAAACTTTCCTTGTGCCCTGGTTGGTTTGGCTCAGCGGTTGGAGCGTTGACCTGCGGACCAGAGTCCGGGGTTCGGTTCCTGCTAGGGGCACGGACCAAAAAAGAAAAAGAAAACTTTCCTCATGACAGCAGGAAGGAGTCAGGGCTGTTTACGCTGATCATTCCTGTTGATCATGATGGAGGTTTTAGCCAGACCAGTAAATCAGAAAAGTGAGAAAAAAGAAAATAATTTGAGTGGAAGAAACAAAACTGTTATTCATTGATGATATGATTGTATATGTAGAAAGCCCCAACCAATCTATAGATAACTTAAATCAGTATCACTTAGGAAGTTGCTGGATACAAAATCAATTTATAAAAATATTATCATATATCATCAACAAACACATTGCAGTTAAAAAATCATGCATATAGTAGCATTACAAATAAAAAGTACCTCGGAATAAATCTGATAAAAGATGTGAAGTTTTTAGAGAAATTAAAGAAGACTTGGGTAAATGGACAGATGTACTCTAGTTTTGGATTGGAAGACTCAATGTTGTAAATGTGCAAATTTCTAAAACTGGTTTAGAAATCCATCATAATTTAAATTAAAAAACTCAAGCGGTGTGTATGTGGATGAGGGTTGGGAAGGTGGAATTGATACACTGACTTTAAAATGTGTGAAAATGAAAAGTTCATAAAACTCATGACATTTTTGAAGATCCAGTTCATTCTATGGGCAAAAGATCTTGTTGAGACACTGTTTTGAAAGCCTGGAATGCTAGTGTTCTTGGTTTTGATAGGGTGCTCACCAATCCAGGTTTACCCAGGCCAGTCCTGGGCTTTGCCTGTGACCCTGGTCTCATTAGCAGCATGCCCTTTTCAAGTCTCATTTTGCTGTTTCTGGAAAGGATTGACCACTCTTGCTTGGTTTTTGTTTTGTTTTTCTTGAGTTGCTCATGTTTTCCCAGACACACAGCTCCAAATCAGGGAATAGCATTTGCTGATGGTCAGTAAATGGTGGTCAGGAAGAAGCACCAGGCAGCACTGAGCCTGGGCCTGCCTAGGGTGGGGGCTTTTCTTGTAGGGGAGTCACAGCATGCAGCCTTCTCGGCCTCCTCCACTCTTACTGTGCTGAAGATAAGCAGCCACATGGGTGGCTGTTGTTCACCACGTATTGAAACTCATGTTAAAGGGGGAGGGAATGAGCCCTGGCTGCTGTGGCTCAGTTGGTCAGAGCATTGTCCCATGCACCGAAAGGTTGCTGGTTTGATTCCCCAGGCAGGACACGTACCTAGGTTGCTGGTTTGGGGTGTGTTTACATGAGGCAACCGGTTGATGTTTCTCTCAGACATTGATGTTTCTCTCCCCCGTTTTCCCAATTTCCCTTTCTAAAATCAGTAAAAAAAACCAAAAAACATATTCTCGAGTGAGGATTTAAAAAAAAGGAAAGCTGCCCTGGCAAGTTTGGCTCAGCAGTTAGAGCCTAGGCCTTCAGACCAGAGAGTCCTGGGTTTGGTTCCCTCTAGGGGCATGTACCAAAAAAAAAAGGAAAGCCCAGCCAGTGTGGCTCACTGGTTGAACGTTGACCCATGAGCATCAGGAGATCACCAGTCTGATTCCCAGTCAGGGCACAAGCCCAGGTTGTGGGCCTGATCCCCAGTGGGTGCGTGTAGGAGGCGGCCAATTGATGTTCTCTCTCATTGATGTTTCTTTTTTTTCCTTATTTTTATTAATTTATTTTTGTTACAGATGTTTCTCCTTTTTCCCCCCAGACACCCTCTTCCCCACCCCCACCCCCCAACCCCTAGCATTGTCGTCTATGTCCATTGGTTATGCATATATGCACATAAGTTCTTTGGTTTATCTCGTACATCCCCTCCGCCCCCCTACTCTGAGATTTGTCAGTCTGAACCATACTCCTTTCTATATCTCTGGGTCTGTTTCATTCATCAGCCCACCTTATTCATTATATTCCACAAATAAGTGAGATCATGTGGTATTTCTCTTTCTCTGATTGGCTTATTTCGCTTAGCATAATACTCTCGAGGTCCCTCCATGTCGTCTCAAAGGATAAGAGACCTTTCTAACAGCTGCATAGTACACCATTGTGTATATGTACCACAGCTTTTTTTTTTTAAATCCTCACCAGAGGACATTTTTCCATTCTTTGTTTAGATAGAGCAGGAGGGAGAGAGAGGAAGAGAGAGAGAGAGAAACATCGATGTGAAAGGGACACATCGAGTGGCTGCCACCTGCATGACCCAACCAGGGCCAGGGACAAACTGCAACTGAGGTATGTGCCCTTAGTGGAAACCAAACCCGGGTCTCTCTGGACCGCAGGCTGATGCTCTAATCGCTGAGCCAAACCGGCTAGAGGTGTACCACAGCTTTTTATCCACTCATCTACTGGTGGACACTTGGGTTGTGTCCAGATCATAGCGATTGTAAATAGTGCTGCTATGAACATAGGGGTACATATATTCTTTCTGATTGGTGTTTCAGGCTTCTTAGGATATATTCCTAGAAGTGGGATCACCGGGTCAAATGGCAATTCAATTTTTAATTTTTTGAGGAAACACCATACTGTTTTCCATAGTGGCTGCACCAGTCTGCATTCCCACCAGCAGTGTACTAGAGTCCCCTTTTCTCCACACCCTCTCCAGCATTTGTTGTTTGATGATTTGTTGATGGCAGCCATTCTGGCAGGTGTGAGGTAATACCTCATAGTTGTTTTAATTTGCATCTCTTTGATGATTAATGACATTGAGCATTTTTTCATGTCTCTTGGCCATTTGTATATCCTTTTTGGAGAGGTGTCTACTTAGGTCTTTTCCACTTTTTTTTTGGTACGTGCCCCTAGCAGGAACCGAACCTGGGACTCTCTGGTCCGCAGGTCGACACTCCAACAGCTGAGCCAAACTGGCCAGGGCTTTTTTTTTTAATCCTTACCCAAGGACATTTTTCCATTTTTTGCTCAGATAGAATGGGAGGGAGAGAGAGAGAAAGAGAGAGAGAGAAACATCAATGTGAAAGGGAAACATTGAGTGGCTGCCACCCGCACGACCCACCCAGGGCCGGGGACAAACCGCAACCGAGGTGCGTGCCCTTAGTGGGAACCGAACCGGGCGTCTTTGGACCACAGGCCGACGCTCTAATCGCTGAGCCAAACCGGCCAGGGCCAGAGCCCATTTTTCAATTGAGTTCTTTGTCTTCCTTTTGTTTAGTTGTATGAGCACTCTGTATATTTTGGAAAACATCGGTGTTTCTATCTCTCCCTCTCCCTTCCTCTAAAATCAATAAAGAAAAAATTTTTTTAAAATTTTTTAAAAAGGTGGGAGGGAATGAACACTCATTGAGCTTATAATACATGTCAGTGATATCACTTCTCTCCTTGCATTCATTCAGTAAATTCATGTATTGGTTGAGCACTTATTATATGCTAGGTGTATTACTTAACTCCTCTCTAACCCTTTAGCAGGTGAAAAAGCTAAAGCTCGGGAGGTTAAGAAACTTGCTCAGATTATATTAAGGTATAGACTGAGCTGTGCAACAAGAAGGTCATCCCAAAGAGCAGTGGCTCTAGTGAGGTGGAACTGCGTTCCCCTCACCAGCAGTGCGGTCTGGCGCCACCTGCCTCAGCCGCTGGCTTTCACCTGTGGAGTCAGAAGGGTGGTTCTGCTTCTTGCCATCTCCCAGGAGGCAGAAGGGCCAGAAGGACCCAGGAGCTCACACCTAGTAAGGCCTTGAGGTTCCAGTGTTGCCCAGCCTTTTGCCCCGACTTTACTCTCCTGACTGTAGCTGGCTGCAAGGGGAGACTGGGAAGTTAGCCTTAAGGAGGTGGCCAAATACCCACCTGAACCTCTGTTGCTGTTGAAGAAGTGGACAGTGAAAACGGCAAAACTAGAGTCTCCCACACCCGTTGAGTCACACAGGTAGGAGCTGTGGACCTTAGCCCTGTGCTCCTGTCTGCTCAGCTCCTTACCCTGCTGTCCACTCTACCCTACTGCCATCTCAGGAAGAGTCAGCCTTTAAGAACTCGTATCAAGTTTGTTTATTGGTTGATTTAGTGAACCCACAGAGGATACCAGCTCTATGTCCAGCTTAGAGCTAGGACCCAGGGATGTAAGGGACTGTGAAAGACAGCCCCTGTCCTAAACAAGCTCCGTTTGTGCTGGGGACATCCAGGTGGAGCCTTCAGTATGGCTGCCTGTGGAGCTAGCCTTGTCCTAGAGGAGGGCTCTGCCCCTGCACAGGGCTGGGATGGTGTGTTCCCAGTAGTCTAGATGGCTCAGACATGCTTTGAGAGCATGAGCATAGACTTGTGTAAATCACTGTTTTATAATCATTTTAATTCACCTCTGTGTCAGTGGTTATTTCTTCTTTTCACTTCTGATTTTATTCATCTGTTTCAATTAGGCCAACCCCCCACCTCCCCGCCCAGTTTTGAGACATTGTCTCATTAATCAGTTGATTGTACAAATATTCACTGTCTCCATGGACTCACATCTCACATCACCATTTTTTTTTTCAGGCCAAATAGAATTCCAGTAGTGTGTGGGTGAAAGTTTGACCACTAGCTCTTTTTGAGAGTAAGAAAGCGTCCTGGTTTGTTGCATTTGTGAATTTCCAGTGCAGACACTTGCTTCCTGTTCAGCTTAAGCTACCAGTGTGATGCCACTGAAGGTGGGTTTGGGAGAGGCCCACACTCAGCTCTTGTGAGCGGTGCCTGCCGCTGTTCCGCCACTGAACCTGTTCTCTGCAGCAAGGTGACCTTGTCTCTTTCCTTCTCTCCTGTGCACTCAGGATCTTTGAGGATAACATGTGCAGGCCACTGTTCTAGGCTCTTTAAGTGGGTAACTCAGTCCTCACAGAAGCTCTACAAGACAGATGCTCACTGTTACCAGTTTACAGGTGAGGACACCAAAGTACAAGGGGTCATGTAACTGGCCTCAGGTCACACAGCAGATCCAGGACTTTGTAAATCTTATAGATTCCAATTTCTCTTAGCAACAGTCTGTATCTCAGAGTGTTCTTTTGTGAAGAGCTCCATTTGGAACTATCTGATCCTATGGAAGCATTTCTCTTTGGGACCTACCTTCTGGCTGATGATCATGCTAACCAGCAAAAGTAAATAGAGACACAGAAGTTCAAGTTCCTTTCGGCGGCTGTTGGAAAAGCATCTGGAAGATGTTGGTGTTACGGTGCTTGGCATTTCAGAGAGACTGGAGGGTGGAGGGCGTTGTCAGGGTGTGGCAGGAATCCTGACATCTCAAGCAAGTGTCAGTGCTGGGCCTACAGTCTCGTAATAGAACTTGAGAGGGTCTGTTGTCTAGGGAAGGAGAATGAGAGCCTTCCCTTTGGGTGAGGTCGCCTAAGGAGAGGCAGCGTTTCTGCGGGGCAGCGTGTGGGTGCTGGGAGATGAGGAACGTTTGGAAAAGAAGTCTGCAGTCTCTCCTGAGAGCAGTTCCTTGGGCATTGAAATTAGCTACAACTGAAGCAGAGCCATTGTGATGAACTTTTTATTTAAACAATTTTTTCCTTTATTGATTTTAGAGAGAGAAGGGAAAGGGAGAGAGAGACAGAAACGGCAATGAGAACACCGATTGGCTGCCTCCTGCACGCCCCCCACTGGGGATTGGGCCCACAGCCTGGGCATGTGCTCTGACCAGGAATCAAACCAGCAACCTCTTGGTGCATGGGTTGACACTTAACCACTGAGCCACACCAGCTGGGCTGTGATGAACTTTTTAAAGGATGCCGCAGTTGCAGTCAGTATTTCTTAAAATGCATAGATAGCGGATGGAAACAGAAATGTCCGTATGGAGAGATTTCTGACATAATGGTATAACAGAATGTACTGATGTGAGCTATGAGCTGATGGTCTAAATTAAAGATTATAAGAATAACCTCTTGTTTTCATGTGTGGTGGTGGTGGTAAAATAATTTCTCAAATGCTAGTCTGTAATATTGGTGAGATGAACAAAATAAGTGTTATGAGGTGAGTTTTTCTTAAAACTATATTTTTTCAAAGTGAGACATTGTCCTTAATCCTGAAATTATGGCTTTCCTTTTTTTGATATTTAAAAGTCATTGTTTTCTGAAATAAGGTAATTGTAGAGGATGATCTGTTCTTTCCTTTCTTTTCCTTTTCTCTCTGTTTGTTTTGTTGTGAGTTTATTCGAGCCAAACTGTTGACAATTGCTTTCCTTTTCTCCTTTATGTCTCTTTTTCATTCTTTTCCTGCAGTCAGTCCCCACAAACCCTGCCGCTGCCCTGTTGCTGAGCGATGTGACGCTCTCACTCCTTTGTTGTCGTCTGACCATCCTCAGCCTCTTCCCAGGAGTGGGTTCCATCTCGAGAAACCCCTTTCTTGGCTCCTTTGTAAGCAGCAGCTCCTCGTCCCTTCAAGTCCCATCATGAGTTTGCAGCCAGGCAGCCCCACCTTCAGGCTCCACCTCTAACTCTGGTTCTCCTGCTTCCCCACCCCCGCAGCCGCTGGCTCCTGAGAGCTGGAGCCCGCAGAGCAGCCATGAGGCTGGAGTCGCCTCCTTCCAAACTCCTGTTCATGGTGCTGTTCTGACCTTTCCCGTGAACCCTCATGTTCTTAATGGCATCTGGAATGAGAATCCTTCTCAGTTCATTTTGCCCTGGTTCATCAGGGAGTCACTACAGAAGCTGTAGCTCACAAAGTGTATGTCTTACGTAGTGAGACTTGACAGTCAGAGTTTAGTCCTTGATCAAGGGCTGCAGAAAGGCATGAAAACGTCTTATCTCATTCACTAACACTTTCTCCGTATCAGTGATAAGTCTGCTGCATTCTGTCCCTCGTGTGTTCACTGGAGCAGCACTTCCAGTGCCCATGAATAGCTTGCCTTGGCATTCAGAGTGTGGCTGGCTGTTTGGCACAGGAGGCCTAACTTTCAGCTCATCTTGGCTTCCAACACGCCTTCCTCCCCAAGCTCCTCATGTCCAGCTTTTGATTTAAAGTGAGAGACGTGCAGCTCTTTCCTTCACTTGAACACCGAGAGGCTGTTGTAGGGTAGGCATCGGCCTGATTTCAGTATCGTTGTGTCTCAGGGAACAGGGAGGCCGAGGAGAGGAAGGAAATGGGGAAGGTGGTCAGTGGAGCCGTGAACAGCATTTCTCAGTTGAGTTCATGGTCTTATGTGGGAGCAGGTTGTGAGGCCCCGAACGTGACAGTGGTAACGTTAAAGGTCCCTGGTGACAGATCACCATGGCAGTGTGGTGGCAGTGACAAGGTCTGAAATGCTGTGAGTCACACTGAGCCCAGGCATTTGGGAAGAGGGTGCCCACAGGCGTGCTCGATGCAGGTCGCAGCCCTTTGGTCTGCAAGCACAGTGTCTGAAGTGCAATGAAACAAGGTGGCCTGTTCGAGAGAGAGGAAGGGCGTTTCAGAGTGGTCGAAGAGGTGGCTCATTGAGTAGACATGACGATCCTAAATATGTATCCACATAATAAAATTAATTCAAAATACATGAAGCAAAAACTTATCAAATCAAGCCCTGGCCAGTTTGGCTCAGCAGTTAGAGCATCGGCTCGCAGACCAATGAGTCGTGGGTTCGATTTTGGTCAAGGGCATATGCCTTGGTTGCAGTTTGTCCCCGGTTCTGGTTGGGTTGTGCAGGAAGCAGCCGCTCGATGTGTCCCTTTTACATTGATGTTTCTCTCTCTCTCTCCCTCCCACTCTATCTGAACAAAAATGGAAAAATGTCCTTGGTTGAGGATAAAAAAACAAACTTATAAAATCAAAAGGAGATGTAAATAAATCATTAAGTAAATCAAGAAGTAAATAAATTGCAAACCTCCTCTCATTAGTTGATATAAGTAGTCACAGACTCAGTTGTCAGCTGATTTATCAGTTATCATATATTATCAACCAACTTGACTGACACTCCACAGCAGCAGAGTGAACCCTATTTTCCAGTGCACACACCACATTCACCAGGATGGACCGTGTCCTAGGAAGGCTACTGGGGAGGACACTGCAGCCTGTGTAGACGTCCAGCCCACTGCTTGGTTCTCTCCAGCTTGTAAACTGAGTAGTTTTTATGTTTATGTTTATTTTTTTCTTGATTGCTTTTAGAGAGGAAGGGAGAGGGAGAGAGAAACATTGATGAGAAAGAACATCAATTTACCACCTCCTGCATACCCACACTGGGGATCGGGCCCACAACCTGGGCATGCGCCTTAATTGAACTGATGACCTCTTGGTGCATGGGTTGACACTCAACCGCTGAGCCACACCGGCCGGGCAGTTTTTATGTTTTTAAAGGGTTTGTTAGGAAGAAGAAGGAAGAGAACATGGCAACAGAGACCTCCCATTGTCACCTACAAAACTGAAAGTAATGACTTTATTTCTTTATAGAACAAGTTTGTTGACCCCATGCTAGGCCATAAATCAAATACCAATACAGTTAAAGGAATGAAGTCACATAAAAGCCTGCTCTCTGAGCACAACAAAAATTAGGTATCAGTAACAAAGAACTATTTGGAAATCTCAAAATAATTAGAAAATTAAGCATTATACTTCTTTTTTTTTTTAATCTTCACCAGAGGACACTTTTGCATTTATCTTCAGATAGAGCGGGAGGAAGAGAGGGAGGAAGAAAGAGAGGGAAACATCGATGTGAGAGAGACACATCGAGTGGTTGCCACCCACACAACCCCAACCAGGGCCAGGGACAAACTGCAAATGAGGTACATGCCCTTAGCAGGAACTGAACCTGGGACTCTCCAATCCGTGGGCCGATGCTGTAACCACTGAGCAAAACCGGCCAGGGCAAGCATTATACTTCTAAATAACTTACAATCTCAAAGAAAAAAATCACAGGAAAATTATAAATATCAAAATCTGTGGGCTGCAGCTATAAAGCAGTGGTTGTGGAAACTTTGGAGTTTTAAATGCTTATAATAGAAAAGAGGTCTAAAAAAAATCAGTGATCTAAGCTTCTACCTTAAGAAGCTAGGAGGAGCCCTGGCTGGGTTGCTCAGTTGGTTGGAGCATTGCCCCATGCAACAAAAGGTTACAGTTTTTATTTTCAGTTAGGGGTCACATCGAGGTTGCAAGTTCGATCCCTGGTTGGGGCGCGTACAGGAGGTATCTGGTCGATGTTTCTCTCTTACCCTGATGTTTCTCTCTCTCCTCTCCCTTCTCTCTCTAGAATAAGTGGGGGAAAAACAAACAAACAGCCCTGGCCGGTTTGGCTCAGCGGTTGGAGCGTCGGCCTGTGGTACAGAGAGACCCGGGTTCGGTTCCCGCTAAGGGCATGTACCTCGGTTGCAGTTTGTCCCCGGCCCTGGTTGGTCGTGCGGGTGGCAGCCACTCGATGTGTCCCTTCACATCGATGTTTCTCTCTCTCTCTTCCTCTCTCTCCCTCCCGCTCTATCTGAACAAAAAATGGAAAAATGTCCTCGGGTGAGGATAAAAAACAAACAAACAAACAAACAAAAAACAAACAAACATATCCTTGGGTGAGGATTCAAAAAAAAATACCAATAAAATTAATAGACTTTAGTGGCTCTGATAAAAAAGAAGGAAGAGGAGGAGGAGGACAGGCAGTGCTAATATGTGCAAAGGGAAGGTCACTGCGGAAGCAGTAGACAGTAGACGTTACAGGGAACATTATGAACAACTGCATGCCCGTGACTTGATGACTCCTTCAGCCATGCAAACTACCAGAATGGAAGCAAGTGGAAACAGAAAACACCAGTTAAAGAAATAAGTTTTTAATTTGAAACATCAGCAAAAAAACCCTGAGGCTGTGGTGAAACCTGTCTAACATTTTAGGAAGAAGTAACACCAATACTGTGTAAACTCAGACATGGAGGAAGAGGGAATATTTCCCAACATGTTTTGTGAGGGCAGCATTTACCCTGATATTCAAGTAGACAGAGGCATCAGAGCAAAAGAAAACCAGACTTATGATTAGTGTTTGTATGCTGTATCCTTTTAACCTTAAAAAAAAAGTTTTAACCTGTGTCTTTATATTTAAAGTAAGTTTTTTAGCCTTGGCTGGTGTGGCTCAGTTGGTTGGAGCGCCGTCCTGTACACCAAAGTTCGATTTCCGGTCGGGACACGTATGGGAGGCAACTGATCGTTTCTCTCTCTTAATGTTTTTTTTTCTCTCTCAAATCAATAAAATAAATAAAGTAAGCCTTTCATACTTAGCATATAGTTCTTGCTTTTTTTTTCTTTATTGATATTAGAGAGAGGTAGAGAGAGAGAGAAACATCGATGAGAGAGAACATCAATTGGCCGCCTCCTGCATGCTCCCACTGGGGATTTGGCCCACAACCTGGGCATGTGCCCTGACCAGGAATCACACCAGTGACCTCTTGGTGCATGGGTCAACGCTTAACCACTGAGCCATACCGGCTGGGCACTTCTTGCTTTTTAAAGTCTAGTCTGATAATTTCTCTCTCTCTTTTTTAAAATTCTCACCTGAGGATATATTTTTCCATTTATCTTCAGATAGAGTGGGGGGGCATCTATGTGAGAGAGATGCATTGACTGGTTGCAACCAGAGCCGGGGATCAAATCACAACCGAGTTACGTGCCCTTGGCCAGATTCGAACCCACGACTCTTTGGTCCGTAGGCTGATACTCTAACCGCTGAGCCAATCTGGCCAGGGCATAATTTCTGTCTTTAATGGAAATTATTCATCTATTAATACACTTTCTGATATGGTTGAGTTTATGTCTGGTATCTTGCTGTGTTGTTGTTTTTTTCTATTTGTCCCGTCTGTTTTTGTTGCTTATTTCTTCTTTTTCCTTTTTATGTTTTGGTCGTCTTTTGGATTAATCCATTCGTTTTGGTTGATGGGATCCTGTAGTCCACTAAGCCACTCACCCACTCTGTGGCTGAAAGCAGGACACAACAGAAGCCAGCTCTAGCTGCCCTGTCCTGCAACTTCTTTTTTGGAAGAAGAGCCTTGGCTGGGTGGTCCCTTCTTTCCCTGGATTGTATGTTATCCAAGTGTGTGAGTTGCTCAGGAGAGAGGGCCATTTGCCATGTGTGGAGATGCCTTCTCTTTCTGAAGGTGCTTCTAGGAATCGTGATCTCTGGTCCCACAGTCTGTTGCTGCGTCCCAGTGGGCTCAGAGGACACCAAGTGCAGGGCAAGTCCAAGCGTCTAACCTTTGAGTGCAGGTGCAGCAGCTCAGTCCGGCGGGGTAAGTGGGATTTTGTCAGAAGAGGGACTGTCTGAGCGTAAGAGCAGGGGCAGAACTGTACAGGTGGGAGAAGGCAGTTTGCACTCGAGGGAAAATGCAGCGTCCTTGTGGCCAGGGTGGTTTGGACAGGCAGTAGGGGTGCCCAAGGACCTGGAAGCCTGTTGTGAAGCAGTCTGGTGAGTGGTGGGCGTCTGGGGCCTCGGAGGTTTTGAAGGCAAGATGAGAGGAATGTGAAGATGCCTGTGGTTTGGAAAAGGGAATCTGTGCAGCAGGGACCAGAGGCTGCAGTGGGAGATGGCTAGACAGCCAGGAGCCGGTCACATAGACACAGGGTCTTGACTCTTCTAAATCAAACGTAGTGAAGTCCATTTGCTATTACTGTAATTTTTTGAATGGTGATTCTTGTAACATTGCAAAGAATTATCTCATTATACAGGTTTACTTTATTAAAGATCCACGCTCTATGCTTTTCATTTTGTGTCAAACAGGGACGTAGGTCCACAGACTGACATGTGAGGACAAACCTTATACTTTCCAGGCAAAGACAGCAAGAGCCTGGAGAGGAGACTGGGATGCAGAGGAAGGGTGGGGGTAATAGCAGTGTCTCAGAGCCCAGTGGTGTGTGAGGGAGGGACATGGTGGCTTTAGGGTAACCCTCTTCAGCAAGATGGGGACAGTGAAAGGAGAGGCCAGGTGGGTGGATGGTTGGAAGGGCAGAGGGGTCAAACAAAACAAGCTTGCTGAGGTTGCATTCTGTGAGATGTTTTGTGTTTTTTTATGAGATGGTCAGTTAGGCGCAGCCACGAGAGGAGACACAAGAGAGGCCCAGGAACATAAAGTTGTTACACTCATGGGTCCTGGAGATGGGAGGCCCTATCCTCCTGCAGGACCACATGGGGAAGCCCCAGGGGTGTCAGGGAGCAGAAGACACGTGTTGGAGTGCTTAGGCACAGCGCATGTGGGGTTTCCACAGGAAAGGAGAGGCAGGGCTGTGAACATGGTAGTATGGACTAGTTTGAATAATTTTGGTGGTCTCCAAGCCACAGGGGTCGTCCCTAGTTGCATGGGCCCTGGGATGAAGGCAGGGGTATTGCTTGGAGAGGGGTGCGCACTGGGATAGTGGAAGAGCCACTCTGGATGGAAGTATGCAGAGAGATCATAGGCCTGCTCCTGCTGGGCCCTTTGCTGTCTCTAAGAATTGACTAGCCTCCATTCGGCCAGTGTGGCTCAGTGGTTGAGCATCAGCCCATGCACCAGGAGGTCACCGGTTCGATTTTCAGTCAGGGCACATGCCCAGGTTGTGGGCCCGATCCCCAGTGGGGGCATGCAGGAGGCAGTCGATCAGTGTTCTCTCTCATCGATGTTTCTGTCTGTCTCTAAAAATCAATAAAGAGTAAAAATAAAAAGAATTGACCAGCCCCAGGGGGGGCCGTCTCTCCCAGCCAGAAGGGTGTTCTGAGATGTCAGAGCATCATGTACAGAAAGTTAAAGTACATATGACATAAAGACGCCCAGGGAGAGACATCCAGTGCACACTCAGGAGCAGCCTGGAGCTGGGGATGGGGCTTGTGAGACATTAACTTCCTTGGTGTGGAGGGGGCATCCTGGCCTGACACATGGGGGAGACATCTCCCAAGGGAGCCAGAGAGTGAGTGAGAGCACCTGGGGTGCAAAAGGAGAGTAAGGAAGTGGGTCAGCCAGCAGGGAACCGAGAGCTGGGGCGTCCCTGCTGTCGTGGGAGCCTGGCCCAGAGAGAGGTGGTCAGACAGTTACTGGGAAGAGCGTCATCTTCAGCACAGGCCCATGTTGGGGAGAAGTGACCCTCTTGTCTTTGCTTGCAGATCTGTGGCCGTCACCATGTTCTGGAAGTTTGACTTGAACACCACGTCCCATGTCGACAAGCTGCTGGATAAGGAGGACGTGACGCTGCGGGAATTAATGGACGAAGATGACATCTTGCAGGAGTGCAAGGCTCAGAACCGGAAGCTGCTGGACTTCCTCTGTCGGCCACAGTGTATGGAGGAGCTGGTGAGCCTCATCACACAGGACCCACCCCTGGACATGGAAGAGAAGGTCCGCTTCAAGTATGTACTGGGCAGGGCTGCAGGGGGCAGTGGGCAGGGCTTTCTGATGGACAAGTGACGAGGTCCCTCTTGTGGAGTGTGTGTGACTTTTCATTCTGAGTTATAGTAAGTTATATGGTGTGTGGGAGTGTTTTGAGGGTGAACGTGCTGAAGGACAGACCCCATGGCAGAGCTGCAGGTGGGGCTGCAGCATGAGGCAGACTGACGGGGCTGCAGTTCCAGCAGGGTCCCCGCCTGGTAAAATGGCCACTTGGGAAACTGGGAACTGCTTCACTCTGGGGTCCTGGGTTCAGTGGAAACATGTCATTAGTGACCATTCTCAGTTTTTCCTAAAATGTCCCATTCAACAGTTGACCAGGATGTCAGGAGATGACAGAAGGGAAGGAGTGGTGTGGCCAGGGCTTGGTGTGAGGACAGAGGAGTTTAAGGACAGGGGACCTTGGGTGACAGGAAGGATAAAGTGGATGCAGCCTCTGGCTCTGAGGGTTCCCACTGGGGCCTGAGCAGTTTGTCAGGACAAGTGGGCAGCTGGACATTGAGTAATGGGAGTGCTTAGGACAGGGTCAGCAAACCACAACCTGCAGGTCATATCCTGTTTTTGTGTGACTTGCAAACTAAGAATGGGTCTACTTTTTTTTTTTTTTTTCATCCTCACCCAAGGACATTTTTCCATTTTTTGTTCAGAGAGAGTGGGAGAGAGAGAGAGAGAGACATATCGATGTGAAAGGGACACATCGAGTGGTTGCCACCCACACAACCCAACCAGGGCCGGGGACAAACTGCAACTGAGGTACGTGCCCTTAGCGGGAACTGAACCCAGTTCTCTCTGGACCACAGGCCGAGGCTCTAACCACTGGGAAAACTGGCCAGAGCTACATTTTTATTTTATTTTTTAAATAGGTTTTTATTGATTTTTTTAGAGGGAGAGGGAGATAAAACCATCAGTCGGCTGCCTCTTGCATGCCCCCTACTGGGGATTGAGCCCGCAACCTGGGCACGTGCCCTGTCCAGGAATTGAGGGGACCTCAGTCCATGGGATGATTCTCAGTCTACTGAGCCACACCGGCTCAGCTGGGTCTATGTTTTTAAATGGTTGTTGCACATGAAAATTATATCAAATTCACATTTCATTGTTCACAAATGAAGTCTTGTTGGAGCACAAAGCACACTTAACCCGTTTGTGATGACAAGGGCAGACCAGAGTAGCTTCAGTAGAGACCACCTAAAGATGTCACCACTGCTCTGTATAGGAACTGTGCTGGATAAGCCGATAGGCTGGCAGGAAGTGCCTGTGATGGGTTAGTCGATAATCTGTGAGGCAGGGCTGGCTCGTGGAGGAGCCAGGGCTTAGACCATGGTGACTCTCTGTGGAAGGTCAGGTGACTGTTGTGCGTAGGGTGCTCCTTGTCAACATGTGATCTCAACGTCACCATTCACAGTCCCCATCCTTTTTACCCTCTCCCTCCCAAATGTGTCCTGTTTGGTGACAAGTTCTATGGTCTACCTGTCTAGAGGGCATTGGTGACAGGTCTGATGGGAAGAGAGCGGGGTCAGGCAGAGGGATCCTGGAGCAGCATCGGTGAGCCAGGACAGTTTTTGGCTGGGAGTCTGGGAGAAATTAGTAATAAATAGGTACAAATCTAAGCAGACAGAACAAGGAGAAACAGTGAACTCTAGGCCCTGGAGTCTAGAGGAAGGAAACATGTAGGTGAGCAGACACCCAGAGTAAATAGATCAGCCCAGCTGTAGACACCTGTTACATATTCATGCTGAGGCAGACACTGGGTTTTGGGGTTTCTCACTCATTGTCTCGGTACCCATGGGCCTTTTTAGTCTGTAAATTCATGGTCTTCAGCACATAGAACTTCTTGTATTATTTCTTTGATAATTTTCTGTCCTCCAGTTTTCCCTCTGTTCTCTCTGGGACATCTCATCGGTGTTAGATGACACAAATTAATGCTTTCTTTTTATTTTTGCTCTTAATGTCTTGTCTTTGCCTCTTTGTTCTATATCTGAGAGGTTTCTTCAAATGTTATCTTCCTGCTCTTTTGTTGACTTCTAAATTTTCTGTTATCATTTTTAATTAAAAAAAATTTTTTTTCCTTTATTGATTTTAGAAAGAGAGGAAATGAGAGAGAAAAAGAGATAGAAACATTGATGAGAGAGAACATCCATTGGCTGCCTCCTGCATGCTCCTATTGGGGATTGGACCCACAACCTGGGCATGTGTCTGGACCAGGAATCGTAGGCGACCTATTGGTGCATGGGTTGACGCTCAATCACTGAGCCACACCGGCCGGACATCACTTTTTATTTTTAAAAGGCCTTTCTCATTCTTAGATTTTTAAAAAATTGATATTTTTAGAGAGGAAGAGGGAGAGAGAGAAACATTTATCAGCTGCCTCCTGCACGCCCCCTGCTGGGGATCGAGCCCACGACATGGGCATGTGCCCTGACTGGAATCAAACCGGGACCTCTCAGTCCATGGGACAGTACTCAGTCCACTGAGCCACACTGGCTGGGCTATTCTTAGATATTTTAAATACAAGTCTCCAGTTCTTGTTTACGGATCCTGTTATAGTGTGCCATTTTCTGGGCATTTCCCTCTGTTCTGCATACTCTCTTTCTGCTCTGCCTTGTTTCCTGGTTGTCGTTCGATCAGCAGTGTGGTCCTTTCAAGAGGGGCGAAAGCCCACACAGGGAAGGGTCTGAATGGGTGCTCACCACACTGTGCTGTGGGTGGCGGGTGACAGCCACTTGGTAGGATGGCAGCTAGTTGGCTTTTCTCTCTGTCCCATCAGTTTGGATTTTTCCAGCTCCTGCCTGTGGGATGTGACCTGTCAGCACCCTGAGTCTGGAAGAAGGGCTGGGACAGCTCAGTGTTGTTTGTACCAGGCCCTGTTTCTGGACAGTTGTCCCATCACTCCCTTAACTGTGCCTGACAGCCCTGAGTCAGGAGCTGCTCTGGTCCACTTTTTCCAGGGAATAAACCTCAGAGTCCTGTGTGAGGGCAGTAAGGGAGGGGCTGGAAGTGTCACTGCTCTTGAACGTTTCTGGCAACCCTCCACCCTGCCCCTGTGCCTGGTTGTCACTCCCTCTGTGACCTGCTGAGGCTCAGACTTCCTGGGCGTCAGGCTGTCCTCACTGGGCCACCACTTTCTGTCTTCCAGGCATCATTCAGCATCATGTCCATTTCTCATCTTTTTTTCTTTGCGTCATTTGAGTCGATTTGAGAGGGAATGATGACAGACCTGTGTGTTTAATCTGCCATGTTTAACTGAAATTCCTCTTCCTTGTATACATTTCATAAACTACTAAAGCATTTCCTTTTTTTTTTTAGTTAATCCTCACCTGAGGATATTTTTTCCATTGATTTTTAGAGAGAGTGGAAGGGAGGGAGGGAGAGAGACACATCAATTTGTTGCCTCCGGCAAGCGCCCTGGCCAGGGCCAGGAATGAACTTGCTACCCTTTGGTCCAAGGGCCAACATTCTAACTGCTGAGCCATACTGGCCAGGGCAAGCAGTTCCTTTTTTGAAGAATCATATAAAATACTGATAAAATCACAGTCCCTCCACCTACCTACAACTTGAGAGGGTCAGGGCGTGTGGCTCATCCTGTCCCACATGTGCACACGTTGGTCTGTGTGTGTGAGAGGACTGGGCCCTTCTTGTCGGCTCTGGAAGAGCTTCCTGGAGGGAGGGAGGGGTCTGCTCATCCCTGGGGCTTGGTTCTGTCCTGCGCTCAGTGCACCTTTTATTTGGAGGCCTGTGGACACCTCTCTGCCTGCGTGACGTGAGGCTTTGCTCTGGCCTTCAGTGCTGCTGACCTGGCCCTCCTGCCCTGCACTCCGAGTATGCTCTCTCGCCTCCTGCTCCTAGCAGCCGTGTGCTTTCCACGGTGCTGGTTATCACAGCACACACCTACAGTGCTGAGCCACCTCCTCTGAGCCTGGTCACAATCCCCCGAGGTGGTCACTAGCCACCCCTCCCTGAGAATGACCACACTTCTGTCTGGGACCCCTGTCAAGCTAGGACATGCTTTTTTAAAATTTTTATCCTCACCTGAGGACATTTTTTTCATTTTTTGTTCAGATAGAGTGGGAGGGAGAGAGAGAGAGACATCGATGTGAAAGGGACACATCTAGTGGTTGCTACCCACACGACCCAACCAGGGCCGGGGACAAACTGCAACTGAGGTACATGCCCTTAGTGGGAACCGAACCTGGGGCTCTCGGGACCACAGGCCAACGCTCTAATCGCTGAGCCAAACCGGCCAGGGCTGGGACATGCTTGTTAACGCCCCACTGCTGGGCCTCCTTCTGTGAACCCATGGGTCCCTCATGCCCGCTGCATATGGCACTGTTTCTCTGAGCTTTAAGAGATGCTGTCTCTGGGCTGAGGAGGAATACCAATTTACCGCCAGACTGAGGTCTCTCCCTGTGCCCTCTCCACGCTTCACCAACTGTTTCCTCTAGAGTCTCAAACCTAGGCCCTTCCAGCTGATCCACAGTAACCTCCTGGGCTTAGGCCTGTGCTGGGGCCTGTGTTGGTGGCTAGCAGGAGCAGGAGGGTCATAGTGGCTGACCTTGATGCAGCTCTGCTTTATACACAGCCTGGTGGGGAAGTGGCCGCTCATGCCTGTGTGTGCAGATCAGGAAGCCCAGGCACAGAGAGATCAGGTCATGTGCCTAAGTCTGCACAGCTTGTTTTATGTAGCTCCAGGTGTGTGTCAGTCAGCCACAGGGTGTTCCCACCGGGTCCCTGCCTCCCTCACCTGCGTTCCCAGATTAGTTCCCAGTACGGCATTGGGTGTTGTTACTGGCACTGCGGTCATAGGCTCTGTCCTGGATATGACAGGTTGTTGAGCAGGTGTGCCTGTCCTAGGGTGGTGGCAGTGAGCCCACGTGTTGTCCTTGCCTCACATAGGAAGGCAGGGAGTACAATGATGTCGTGGGATTACACATAATGGGATGAGGATTATTTTGTATCTGGTCATTTTAATCAAATGAATAGTATAGCCCTGGCCAGTTTGGCTCAGCAGTTGGAGCATCGGCCTGTGGACCAGAGAGTCCCAGGTTCGGTTCCCACTAAGGGCACATACCTCGGTTGCAGTCCCCGGCCCTGGTTGGGATCGTGTGGGCAGCAACCACTCCATGTGTCTCTCTCACGTGGATGTTTCTCACTCTCTCTCCCTCCCTCCTCTCCCCCTCCTGCTCTATCTGAAGATAAATGCAAAAAAAAAAAAAAAAAAAAGTCCTTGGGTGAGGATTAAAAAAAAATGAATAGTACATTGTTTGCATATATTGGTATTAGTAATAATTTGTCTGCATAACACCTTATAACCAGTATTGCATTGTAAGCTTCAGTCTAGGGACAAACTGGACCTGTATTGATAGATAGGAACAGGAAGGGCATGGAGAGGAAGGGAGGACAAACATGAGGGAGAGCCTGGGCTCAGGGACTGTGAGGTGACAGGCGGCGAGAGGCCTGGCAGGTGAGCACAAGAGCCGAGGCCCAGGAGAGTGCAGGCACGAGGCTCCAGAAGATGGTGGGCGGAACACATTAACCTTTTAGTAGTCAGAAATGCCAGTTTGTCTCAGACCTAGCTCATTTTTGTTCTGTTCCGAGGTCTGTCAGTGTTTTGCTCTTGCCCATAGATCTGCTTCCTAAGGAGCAGATTATTTAAGCAGCTTCCTGAGAGTTGGAGAAGTCTAATTTCACCTCCAGTTGCTGGCATTGTGCCCTATAGGTACCCGAACACAGCCTGTGAGCTGCTGACGTGCGATGTGCCGCAGATCAATGACAGACTGGGTGGGGATGAGACTCTGCTGAACCTCCTCTATGACTTCCTGGACCACGAGCCGCCTCTCAATCCTCTGCTTGCCAGTTTTTTCAGCAAGACCATTGGCAATCTCATTGCAAGAAAGACGGAACAGGTAAGCAGTCTGCCCAGCCCATGTGGTTCAGGGTGGTTGGCCTGGTGGATGCCCACACAGCTCACTGTCAGCAGGCTGTGGGAACAGTGTTCCTGGCTGTGTCATGGGACTCAGTGGAGTGGTATTAGGCTGCTTATATGTGAGATGGAGTTTGAATAAGAAAGTGGCTTCTCAAGAGGTATTTCTGCTGCTGGCTCTGGAATAAGCAGCACTTCTTGCCACCCCTGGGAACTGCACAGGACCCCAAATGAGGTAGTCTAGCCTATCATGCCGCTGACCAGTCACAGGCATGAGGTCTAGGGACATGCTTGAGTCATGGCAGGGTTGTAGGATGTCCACCCTCTTCGGCGTATTGCTCCATCTGTGTGGGTGGCCAGGGTCTATGTCTAGCACACTTACTGTTTCAAAACAAATAAAATAAAACTTCTAGCAATAGGCTTCTGTGAAATATAGTGAGTGACTTTGTTTCATCCAGCTGAGCCGTGTTGCTTCTGTCTCACATCCTGCTTGACTCTTCAGCGCCACCCACTCTGTAGACACACAGAATAGGGCGAGTGCTAATGACACTCTTGCTGGCACCAGCCTCAGAGCCAGTCTTTCATCCTGTGCCCCTGCCCATTCCCAGGGGACTGTTTCAGACCAGTTCCCAGATAGCATATCATTCCTGTAAATATTTCAGTATGCATCTCTAAAATATGCTTTCTTTTAAATATGACTATAGAGTAGGAGGGGACAAGACTTTGCTGGACAGATTACCATACCCCCAAAATGTTAACCATAATTGTTGGGTATCATCAAAGATCCAGGCTGGGGACAAACCAGTATTTGTGTGTGTGTGTGTGTGTGTGTGTGTGTGTGTGTGTGTGTGTAGCTCTGAGAAGGTACAGCCCCAGGCAAAGCATTCTTGATGTGAGGAAACCCTGTTGGCATGTTGTCCATCTTCGGTGGACTGTCACCCTTCATAGGGTTGTAAATCTTAGGTTTACAGGGGACCTAAGAGGACGATCTCACCTCAGATATTTTTTGGAAACTGGCAGAGTATGAAAGAACATTGGTGGTGGTGCTTTTGGCACAGCAGTGAGAGCTGCAGTCCCTGGAGTAACAGTGCTGCTGGAGTGGGGCTGGCACTGCAGCTGAGGGTGGTTGTGGGTTGCAGAGACCATCCTGTTCGGTTTTCCAGCCCAGTGTCCACACACGTGTTCATTATATTCCTCTCTGCTTTCAGGTATTGTCTGGATTTTCCTGCTGCTTGTAATACTTCCCTCTATTCCCTTGCCCAATAATATGAACTGCACTCTTAAAAAATATTTTTTGGGGGAGGTGGGGGGATCAATGGGGAAAAAATGGAGGAACCTCTGTAATACTTGTAACAATAAAGATTTTTAAAAAGAAAATAAAAAAAAACAGAATTTTTTTTTACTGACAAATGTGACATTTATATATGAAATTCATACTAGACAGAAATACAGGAAACAGTCTTCTGTAGTACTTTAGAGGTAACTACTATTGATTTACTTTTAATTTTTCAGGTGGGAACGGGAAGGAGGGCCACATACGCATTTCTTACCCATCATAATATCCTCACCACTGTCATTGTTCCTCCCATGTTTCCATAGAGAGGCGGCTGTCAGTGAGAGGACCTGTGGCATTTTCTTAGCTCCTTATTATCGATTATTTCACACACTTACAAATTGGAGAATACAGTTTTATGAACCCCCATATCTTTGTCACACAGCTTAACAATTATTTGTTCAAGAGCAGTCTTATTTCTCCTATACCCCTATTTCCAACCCCCATCCCAAACATTATTTTATTTTATTTATTTATTTTTAAACAAAGTTGCTTTTCATTTTAAATATGTTTTTATTGATTTTTAGAGAGAGGGGAAGGGAGAGGGAGGGAGCAAGTAGAGAAATATCAGTGAGAGTGAGACATCACATTGATTGGCTGCCTCCTGCACACCCCCACTGGTGATGGAGCCTGCAACCCAGGCATATGCCCTAGCCAGGAATCAAACCTTGGTTCATGGGACCCCTCGGTGCATTGGATCCCTCTCAACCAACTGAGCCACACAGGCCAGGGCTTGTTTCATTTTATATGTAAATATTTCAGTATGTGTTTCTACAAGACAAAGACTCTTTTTACAGGCATTGTCACAATTCCTTTTTATTGCTGTATGGTATGGATGTCCAGTTTGTTTAACCACTCACCTATTGAAGGACATTTTAGTTGTTTGCACTTTTTTTGACTATTACAAGTCAAGCTGCTGTGAACATCTGTGTTTAGTCTTTGGTGTGCATTTTGTGTGCACTGTTAGATTAGAAGTGAGCTTCTTGTAGAAAACACAGTTACTCATGTGTTTTTATCTTCTTTTTTACTCTGTCTTTAATTGGTATATTTAGGCCATTTCCATTTAATGTAATTATTGCTATGTTAGGGTTTATAACTGCCATTTATTTGTCATTTTTCTGTGTGTTCCTACTGTTTTTCATTTCTCTGTTTTCTTTTTCCTGCCTCCTATGGGTCACTTGACCTTTTACAGTGTTTCATTTTGATTTATCTATGGTGTTTTTTTAGTATATCTCTGTGTAGGTTTTAAAGGTCGTTCATTATACGTTCATAACTGAGATGTGCATGTGGTCAGCCTGAGTGGATAAAGCGAAAATGGTGGAGCCAGTTGACAGTCACACCAGCAGAGTATGACAGTTCTATTGCTCCACTTCCTCACCCACTTTAATATTAGTATCAGTCTTTTTTACTTTAGCCATTCTGGTGGGTTCACAATATAGCATTGTGGTTTGAATTTGCATCTCCCTAGTAACTAATGAGGATTAGTACCTTTTCTTACATTAATGGGCCTTTGGGTATTTTCTTTTGTGAAGTCTGTTGCCCATTTTCTATTAGGCTGTCTCTTTATTAATTTGTAGGAATTCTCTGTATTTTGTGGATACATGTGCTTTGTTGATTTTGTGTTGCAAACATCTCTTCTACTCTGGTTTGCCTTTCTTATTTTTCTTTACTCTCTTAATGAGCAGAGGTTCTGATTTTCATGTAGTACAATTATAATTATTTTTATTTCTGTTGTTCTGTTAAGAAACCTTTGCCACCCTGGCTGGTTTGGCTTAGCTGTTAGAGTGTCAGCCTGTGGACCCAAGAGGCCCAGTTTCAGTTCCTGCTAAGGGCACGTACCTCAGTTGCAGTTTGTCTCTGGCCCCGGTTGTGGTTGTGTGGGTGGCAACAAGTCAGTGTGTCTCTCTTCCTCTTCCCCCTCTTTCTCTCCCGCTCTATCTGAAGATAAATGCAAAAATGTTCTTGGGTGAGGATAAAAAAAAAAGAAAGAAACCTTTGCCTATCTCAAAGTCATGAAGATAAAATATGCATATCCAGTTGACCCAGTACCATTTATTGATAAAGCTATTCTTTTTTTTTTTTTTTTGTATAGATAGAGTGGGAGGGAGAGAGAGGAAGAGAGAAAGAGGGAAACATCGATGTGAAAGGGACACATCGAGTGGCTGCCACCCGCACGACCAACCAGGCCGGGGACAAACTGCAACCGAGGTACATGCCCTTAGCGGGAACCGAACCCGGGTCTCTCCGGACCACAGGCCGACACTCTAACCGCTGAGCCAAACCGGCCAGGGCGATAAAGCTATTCTTTATCAATTGCTTTACAATGCCCCCTTTGTCATAAATCAAACAATTACTTCTGAACTTCATACTGTACTAGTGTTCTGTTTGTATTTGCACCAGTACAACACTATCTTAATTACTTTAGCTTTATGAGTCTTGATGTTTAATAGAGTTAGTCCCCTCACTTTTTTTTTTTTTCAAGGTTGTTTTTACAGCCTGTGCTGGTATGGCTCAGTTGGCTGGGTATCATCTTGTGCACTGAAAGGTCGCCAGTTCAATTCCCAGTCAGGGCACATGCCTGGGTTGCTGGCTTGATCCCCGGTAGGGGGCTTGCAGGAGGCAGCCAGTTGATCGATATTTCCCTCTCTCTCTCTCCCTCTCCCTTCCTCTCTTTCTAAAAATATCAATTTTTAAAAATGGGGGAAGAAAGGGGAACATCTATAATACTTTCAACAATAAAGATAAAAAAGGTTATTTTGACTATTTTTTGCCTTTTGCATTAGTTTAGAATTAACAAATTTTAGGACGAGTTTGTCAGTTTCCACAATCTTCCCTGCTCCTCTCCAAAAAAAAAAAAAAAAAAAAAATTGCTGATATTTTGATTAGGCTTGTATTTGCTATAGGTCAAGGTTGGCAGATTACGGACCACAGGTCCAGACTAGCCTGTCACCTGTTTTTGTAAATGAAATTTTACTGAAACACAGCCACTCCCATTTATTTACTTATTGTCTGTGGCTGCTTTTGTGCTACTGTAACAAAGCTGTGTAGTTAGGGCTCATTTAATTTCTCTCAATAACATGTTGTAATTCTCTGGTAGCTAGTTGTCTTAAACCTCTTTCATTAGGTTTATTCTTAGTTGCTATTTTTATGTTTTTCTACATAATATATTTTCATTAAAATTTTTCATTGAGATAATTATAGATCCACATGCAGTTGTATGAAATAATATGAAGAGATCCTTTGTATACGATGCCCAGTTTCCTTCAGTGGTGATGTTTGTTTTTGTTTTTTGTTTATCCTTACTTGACGACATTTTTGCATTTATCTTGAGATAGAGTGGAGGGAGAGAGGAAGGAAGAGAGAAAGAAAAACATCTATGTGAGAGAGACATCAACTGGTTGCCATCCACACAACCCCAACCGGGACCAGGGACAAATTGCATCCGAGGTACGTGCCCTTAGCAGGAACTGAACCTGGGACTCTCTGGACCACGGGCCGATGCTCTAACCGCTGACCCAAACCAGCCAGGGCCAGTGGTGATGTTTCTAAAGCACTAGTAGAATATCACAACCCAGATATTGACATTGATACACTCCAGTGAACTTATTCAAGTTTCTCCTTTTACTTGAGTCATTCTGTGTATGTGTATTAAATTCTAAACATTTTGCCTAGTCCGGGTGGCTCAGGGGGTTGGAGCATTGTTTGGAATGCCAAAGGGTTGTGGGTTCAGTTCCCAGTTAGTGTACATACCTAGGTTGTAGATTTGATCCCCAGTCGGGGTGCATATAGGAGGCAATCAATTGATGTTTCTCTTTCTCCTAAAATCAATAAAAACATATCCAGTGGTAAGGATTTAAAAAAAAATTCTATACATTTTATTACCTGTGTAGGTTCATGTCTCCACCATCATAGTCAAGATACTGAACAGTTCCAAAACTACAAACGTCCTTTTTTTTTTTTTTTTTCTTTTTTAATCCTCACCCGAGGACATTTTTCCATTTTTGTTCAGGTAGAGTGGGAGGGAGAGAGAGAAAGAGAGAGAGAGAGAGAGAGAAACATCAACGTGAAAGGGACACATCCAGTGGCTGCCACCCGCACGACCAACCTGGGCCGGGGACAAACTGCAACCCAGGTACGCGCCCTTAGCAGGAACCGAACCCAGGTCTCTCTGGACCACAGGTCGATGCTCTAACCGCTGAGCCAAACCGGCCAGGGCTTTTTTTTTTTTTAAATCCTCACCCAAGGACATTTTTTGTTCAGATAGAGTGGGAGGGAGAGAGAGAGAGAGAAACGTTGACGTGAAAGGGACACATCGAGTGATTGCCACCCACACGACCCAACCAGGGCCAAGGACAAACTGCAACTGAGGTACACACCCTTAGCAGGAACCGAACCCAGGTCTGTCTGGACTGCAGGCCAACACTCTAACCGCTGAGCCAAACCAGCCAGGGCTTTTGTGTTGTTCTTTTTAACTGCTCCCACTTTTCTTCTGCCCCAGCTTTTTACTCATCCCCAACCCCTGGCAACCACCAATCTGTTTCTATTTCAAAATGTTATTTAAGTTAAATCATATAATACATAGCTTTTGAGGATTAGCTTTTTTTCCTTTTCAGCATAATTCCCTGTAGACTTTTCCAAGTTGTTTTGTGTATCAGTAGTTCATTAGTGTATTCCTTTTTATTGCAGAGTAGTAGTCTATGGCATATGTGTACCACAGTTCGTTTATTTAGGCTGATTTCAGTTTTGGGTGATTATCAATAAAACTGCTGTTCTTGGTGCATGGGTCGACACTCAACCACTGAGCCACACTGGCTGGGCTAAGCTGCTGTTCTAATAATTTATCTTTATAGTCTTTTGTTGTATCTACATACAAGATCATATTATCTGTGATTAATAACAATTCTATTTTGCCCTTTACAATTCTTAGACTTTTTATCTCTTTTTGCTTTATTGCATTGGCTGGAACCTTTAGTACAATGTTGGATTGAAGTGGTGATAATGGGCCTCCTTGTTTTATTTATTACCTTAGAGAAAAAACTTGCAACATTTTAAAAAATAGTTTGTTTTCTTTTTTTAAATGTATTTTTATTGAGCCCTGGCCGGTTTGGCTCAGCGGTTAGAGCGTCGGCCTGCGGTCCCCAGAGACCCTGGTTCGGTTCCCGCTAAGGGCACGTACCTCAGTTGCAGTTTGTCCTCGGCCCTGGTTGGGTTGTGCGGGTGGCAACAACTCGATGTGTCCCTTTCACATCGATGTTTCTCTCTCTCTCTCTCTCTCTCCCTCCCACTCTATCTGAACAAAATATCAAAAAATGTCCTCGGGTGAGGATTAAAAAAAAAAAAAGTATTTTTATTGATTTTTAGAGAGGGTGGAAGGGAGAGGGAGAAAGAAACATCCATGTGAGAGAGAACCATCAATCTGCTGCCTCCTGCACGCCCTCTGCTGGGGATTGAGCCCACAACCTGGGCATGTGCCCTGACCAAGAATCAAACCAATGACCTCTTGGTGCATCATGGGTCAACACTCAATCCACTGAGCCACACCAGCTGGGCAAAACTTTCAACATTTTACGGTTAAGTATGATGTTTGTTGTGGGGTTTTGTAGATTTTTTTTTATTAGAGTAAGGGAATTTTCTTTATTCCTTACCTTTTTAGTTTATAACATGAATGGTTGTTGAAATTTATTTATTTATTTATTTATTTATTTATTTTTTTTAATCCTCACCCGAGGACATTTTTTCATTTTTTGTTCAGATAGAGTGGGAGAGAAAGAGAGAGAGAGAGAGAGAGAGAGAGAGAAACATTGACATGAAAGGGAAACATCGAGTGGCTGCCACACAACCCAACCAGGGCCGGGGACAAACTGCAACCGAGGTACGTGTCCTTAGCAGGAACCGAACCCGGGTCTCTCTGGACCGCAGGCCTACGCTCTAACCGCTGAGCCAAATTGGCCAGGGCTATTTATTTATTTTTACTATATTGAGTTGATCATATGATTTTTATTCTGTGTTCTGTTAATAGGTAAATTTTGCTTAATGATTTTCTAATGTTAAACCAACCTTGACTTCTTGGAATATACCCAACTTGGTTGTGATATGCTTTTTTTCATATTTCTGAATTTTTGCATTTGTGGTCATCAGTGAGATTGTCTTATAATTTCCCTTTCTTATAATACCCTTACAAGGTTTCTGGAATAAAGTTTTATGTCTGTATACAATGACATGGGGCATATTCTCACATTTTATGTTCCCTGGAAGACTGTATGTAAGATTGGGCTTATTTTTCTTTAAATGTTTCGTTCACTAAGGTCATTAGAGCCTGTAGTTTTCTTAAAGAAAATGGATTTTGCATCTTTTGATGCTCTAGAGTTCTTCAGACTGTTACTTCTTCTTGTCAGTTTAGATAAGTATGTTTTGCAAGGAAACTTTTTATATTTCTAAATTTATACAATTCGGTATAAAATCATCCTTAATAACCTCTCATTGTAGCTTTTCTATCTGTAGGATCTGGCATGCTGTCCCTTGTTTTTTCTTCTTTTTTTAAAAAATTTCTCACCCGAGGATATTTTTCCACTTATTATCAGATAGAGTGGAAGGAAGGGAGCAAGAGGGAGACAGAGAGAAACATCGATGTGATAGAGCCACATCAACTGGTTGCCTCCCGCTCTACCTGACCAGGGCCAGGGATGAACCGCAACTGAGGTATGTGCCCTTGACCGGAATCGAACCCGCAACTCACTGGTCTGTGGGCTGACGCTCTAACCGCTGAGCCAAACCAGCCAGGGCACTTGTTTCTTCTTCTTAATCTTTCTCTCTAGAAGCTTAATCAGATTCATTCCAAAGGACCTTCCTCCCTCCTCCTTTCCTCCTCCCCTTCCTCAGGTCTCTGCCTGACCTTGCGGAGGTCTGTCTTACAACTTTTTTGGGTCTTCCATTATTTCTGCTTAACATAATTGGAAATTAATCTTCCTCATGAGTTTCGTTTTGGGAGCATCTCATGGTGTTAGAGTTTGCCCCACTTGCTTACCAGGGTGTTTGACTTCAGGTGATTGTGTTCCTGAAGAAGAAAGACAAGTTCATCAGCCTGGTCCTGAAGCACATCGGCACCTCAGCCCTCATGGACCTGCTGCTTCGCCTAGTCAGCTGTGTGGAGCCAGCCGGGCTCCGGCAGGAAGTCCTGAGGGTGAGTGTGTGGGCCCTGCTCTTGGCGTTCCACCCCGCTCTGGTGTGTCTGCAGATTCCGTGTGGTGATGGCCTGCACAGGGGGCCAGACTTGAGTGAGGGAGCTCAGAGCGCTGGAGTGTCTGGCGCTCCTAGCTTCCCACCCGCATGGTTTTCTCCCTCTGGGATCATCAGGGCTCTTGTCAAGGCTTATCCTCGAGGCTGGTTCTGAACTCTGCACCTTTTCCATGGTCCTACCTCAGTCCATTGAGAAGCAAAGAGCAGAGCAGTTCCTTCTCTCCTGGATACTCTATGGCTCTGCTCTATGAAGAAGCAGAAAGGAGCTTTCCTCACCACCTGCCCCAGCCCCAGCCCCTGGCCTCAGGGAGGAGCTCTGTTGGGCTAGCGCTAGGGACCGGCACAGACCTGTGAGGAAAGCTTGAGCTGACAGCATTCCATGCAGGGAGATGGCAGAGACCAAAGTGGCCTGTTGTTTGTCCGGGAGTGTGCATGTGTCTGTCCTGACGGCATTCACAGTGTGAGGAGCTGCCTGTAGCTCCCTGAGGGCTTTCTCATAGGAGAATGGGGCTCTCAACCCAGAGAAGCCCAGGAAATCAGTGCTGAGCAGCTTGTTCACTGGTTTGGTGGGTTTTGTTTGCCATGCAATTTAAAATATTGGTCCTTGCCCATTTTTCAGCTCCTGGAATCAGGTGACAGTTTTCGTCATGGTGGCAGTGCGCAGTCTTAGGTTAATAACTCGTGCCACTTTGGAGAGCCTCCCTCTAAGGGTCAATCTTCATAGTTAGTGGAAAGCCTGCATTGACCTGTGCTATGCAATTCTGGGGACAGGTCATCCTTTTTCTGTATGAGGGAGTGCACTAGGGGAACTGAGTGTGACCCAGGTCTTTCTGGGCCACCTCGCCCATGGACCTTCCACAGTGTCCAGCATGTTAGTCCTTACCATGCACCTGCACCCGCAGCCTCATCAGGGCCCTTCTGCCCCTCATCTTCCCAGTGCTGCAAGAGCAGAGGCTGAGCCCTGACTGGTGTGGCTCAGCTGGTTGGAGTGTCATCCCGTATGCTGAAGGATTGTGGGTTCAATTTCCAGTGAGGGCACATACCCAGGTTGTGAGTTTGAAACCCAGTTTAGGTCCATATGGGAGGCAACTGATCGGTGTTTCTCTCTCCCCCTCCCTCTCCCTCTAAAATATAAAAATAGAAACACCCTCGGATGAAGGTTAAAAAAGGGCAGTGGCTGAGCTGGGACCGGCCCTGGGAGAGCCCGCCGGTGCTCAGGTGGTTTCCTAAGGACAGAGCCACATGTGTTTGAGTCTACGCCATCAGGACACATAGACAGTGATTCCCTCCTTCACTCCAGAATTGGGTTACTGCTTGTTCTTTCTGGGTCTGGGTGGGCAAAGAATCTCTGTCACGGATCCTGGTACATGGATTCCTGCTGCACCAAGGGACTTTTCTCCACATAGGTAGACGTGAGCAGTCATCAGCAGGCCTCTTTCTCCCTTTCAGTGGCTTAATGAAGAGAGGATCATTCAGAGACTCGTGGAATTGATCCACCCGAGTGAGGACGAAGATGTGAGTATGGTGCTCAGCTGGCCTTCCACAGGAGCCCTGGCTGGGCTGTAGGACAGCGCCCCCTGCTGCTATCTGAGGGCAAGTCAGTCCTTTCCTCAGATGACCTTGAATCGAGCACTGACTTCTAGACTTAATTACTAAGAGATAGTATATATACATCATAAAAAAACAATTTGAAAAGAATTATGTAGTTCTCTATGCTTGAGTAACAAATTATCCTGAAACATACTTGCTCATAACAAGTACTTTGTATCTCAGTTTCTGTGGGTCAGGCATCTGGACACAGCCTAGCAGGTTCTCTGCCTAGGATCAGTCATAGGGCATCTCAGAACTCAGCTGGGGGAGCAGGGTGTGCTTCTAGGTTTGCCTCTGCAGGATTCCGTTCCTTGAGAGCTGCTGGCCAGGGCCACCCTCAGCCCAGGCCCCGAGGGCCTCTCCATAGGGCAGTTCACAGCACGGCTGCTGGCGTCCTCTGGAGAGAGCAGGATGGAAGCCAGTCTCCTGCAAACTCGTCTCAGGACTGAGAGTTCTCACTGTGGTTCTGTCTAGAGGGGAGGGGCTGGTTCTAGCCGTGTTCAAGGACATGGGTTACCAGGGCGAGAGCTTGAGAGGAAGCGCCCACTGCCAGTGGAGGAGCATGGGGTGGCGATGGGCTTCCACTGCTAGCCCCTTCCTTCCCTATGGTGACCACTGTGGGGCATTGGGGTATTTCCTGATAGGTCTTTTCTCCACGTGACTAAAGAGACACGCGCTGTCCTCAGCACTTTTGAGAAAGTGGTGCTTACTTGTGTCTGAGCCTTAGCTACTTCCAGGCCACTCTGTTCTTTGTCCTGTCATCTCCCGGGAGGGTGTCTGTGCTCCCTAAGCCCCCCATGCGTGTGAGTGTTGGGGGCTGGCTGGGCTGTCCACAGGCACACAGGCAGGTGCGAGGCCACAGAGCCAACCTCACTGCTTGCATTTCCCCTGAAATGGTAGTGCAAGCACTTCCTGTAGCCCGGTGTTCCTGCAGCGTATGTGGCAAGGTGGAAAGTTCTGATGCTCCTGCAAAGGGGCCAGGGGCTGAGTTTCTAATTGTGTTCACCTGCCCCTTGGAAATCCCCACTTGTTGGCAAGTGCACTGAATCAGGTTCCAGATTTTCACAGGGTTCACATTTCCCTGAAAAGTTGCATCTTTTTTTTTCTCTGTAGCAACTTTTGTATTTTCATGAGCTCACAAGACTCATTCTGAATATTAGTAGCTCCTTATTAATTAAAAATACAGTATCAGCCCTGGCCGGTTTGGCTCAACGGTTAGAGCGTTGGCCCGCGGACCAGAGAGTCCCAGGTTCGGTTCCCGCTAAGGGCACGTACCTTGGTTGCAGTTTGTCCCCGGCCCCGGTTGGGGTTGTATGGGTGGCAACCAGTTGATGTGTCTCTCTCACATCGATGTTTCTCTCTCTCTCTCTCTTTTCCCCTCTCTCCCTCCCGCTCTGTCTGAAGATAAGTGCAAAAAAAACCCCCAAAACATACAGTATCAGTAACTTGGTCACACATGTAGTGAGCTCAACATGGGTCGGGGGTAGAGCTGTGTACCTGCGAGACCCAGTTGACCATTGAGAGCCCCTTGAACTTGGAAAGTTCAGTGCAGCCAAAAGTCTGAGCAGATCTGCATCCTGACAGTGGAAAAGCAGAAAATGAACTGGTTTAGAGAGAATCCTGTAGCTTCCAGAGAAGGAGCAACGGGACTTCGATTGTCTGGCAGTCTGGCTCTGCTGACGTTTCTCTTGGCCCTGATGGACTGCCGTTGTCTTCCAGAGGCAGTCCAATGCTTCTCAGACTCTCTGTGACATCATCCGGCTGGGCAGAGAGCAGGGTAGCCAGATGCCAGAGGCTGTGGAGCCGGACCCGCTTCTCACAGTGCTGGAATCGTGAGTGCTGGCCGTGGTGCTGGTGGGCCTGGCTGGTGGGTGCTGTGGTCTTTCTGAGTCATGAGAACGTCTCCAAGCCCTGCTCTGGACACAGCCACTTTCTCTGATGCGGATTCTGATGAGCTGGTTCTGAAATACCCCAATCCAGTGTTAAGTTGATGGACCTATTTCTCATGGAAGGGTCTCCAGGCAGGTCCAGTGAGTCCAGGCCAGCAGGGTAGGAGTGTCCTGAGAACCTGGGAGCCTGGCCTGAAGCCCGAGTGTGTTGCACCTCCACGGGGAGGGGAGACTGTCCTTTCTGTCTGCGTCTGCTCCACCAGGCAGTGACCCCGTGTGTGTCTGACAGGCAGGACTGTGTGGAGCAGCTTCTGAAGAACATGTTTGATGGCGACCAGACTGAGAGCTGCCTCGTCAGTGGGACTCAGGTGTTGCTGACCTTGCTGGAAGCGAGGCGGGCTGGGTGAGTGCTCTCATAAGGAAGCCGTTGCATGACCGAGGGTGATGCTTGGGTGGCAGGCGGCTTGAATGCAGGGTCTGGTGTGTTGTGTTCTTAACTGATTTTCAATTATGCAGCTGATCACATGGGTAGCTGAAAAGGTAAATCTGTGGCTATGGCCAAGTTCCTGCCCCCTGCCCCTTTTTAAATCCTCACCTGAGGACACATTTCTATTGACTTGAGAGAGAGAGAGAGAGAAACATTGATCAGTTGCTTCCCATATGCACCCCAACCAGGGATCAAACCCACAACCTGGGTATGTGCCCTGACCAGGAACGGAACCCGCCACCTTCTGGTGTATGGGATAATGCCCCAACCAACTGAGCCACCAGCCAGGGCAGCCAAGTTCCCTTTGACATCAGTCGTGTTCCTACCTTTAGCGCAAAGATACTTACTGTCACTTGTTTGCAGAGTGTTTATAGACATGTCTGTAGAGTAGGTATGGCTGGTGGGTTTCCCAAGGACTTCCGATGAGTCTGCACAGCACGTGTAGGTTGTGTCTGTATTTGTGTGTGTGGTGTGTGTGTGGAATGTATGCGTGGGGTGTGTCTGGAGTGTGTGCACGGGGTGTGTCTGTATAGTGTGTGCACGGAGTGTGTCTATATAGTGTGTTTGGGGGGGGTGTGTCTGGAGTGTGTGCGTGGGGTGTGTCTGCAGTGTGTGTGGAATGTGTGCATGGGATGTGTCTGTATAGTGTGTACGTGGGGTGTGTGTGTGGAATGTGTACATGGGGTGTGTCTATAGTGTGTGCGTGGGGTGTGTGTGTGGAATGTGTACATGGGGTGTGTCTATAGTGTGTGCGTGGGGTGTGTGTGTGGAATGTGTACATGGGGTGTGTCTATAGTGTGTGCGTGGGGTGTGTGTGTGGAATGTGGACATGGGATGTGTCTGTATAGTGTGTACGTGGGGTGTGTGTGTGGAATGTGTACATGGGGTGTGTCTATAGTGTGTGCGTGGGGTGTGTGTGTGGAATGTGTACATGGGGTGTGTCTATAGTGTGTGCGTGGGGTGTGTCTGGAGTGTGTACATGGAGTATGTCTGTATAGTGTGTGCGTGGGGTGTGTGTGTAGAATGTGTACATGGGGTGTGTCTATAGTGTGCGTGGGGTATGTGTGGAATGTGTACATGGGGTGTGTCTATAGTGTGTGCGTGGGGTGTGTGTCTGGAGTGTGTACATGGGGTGTGTCTGTATAGTGTGCGTGGGGTGTGTGTGTGGAATGTGTACATGGGGTGTGTCTGTATAGTGTGTGCGTGGGGTGTGTGTGTGGAATGTGGACATGGGGTGTGTCTGTATAGTGTGCGTGGGGTGTGTGTGTGGAATGTGGACATGGGGTGTGTCTGTATAGTGTGCGTGGGGTGTGTGTGTGGAATGTGGACATGGGGTGTGTCTGTATAGTGTGTGCGTGGGGTGTGTGTGTGGAATGTGGACATGGGGTGTGTCTGTATAGTGTGTGCGTGGGGTGTGTATGTGGAATGTGTACATGGGGTGTGTCTGTATAGTGTGTGCGTGGGGTGTGTGTGCTGCTGTCAGTGCTTTTCCATCACAGCAGTGGTAGTGGCCTGACTCTCCCAGGGTGACTATAACTCCTTCGTCTCCTTGTACTGAGGGAACTTCGGTGTAGCACCAACACTGATAGTATGCACTTATTTTTTTGTTTGTTTTTTTGTTAATCCTCACCCAAGGATATTTTTCCATTGACTTGTTTAGAGAGAGTAGGGGGGGGGGAGAGAGAGAGAGAAACATTGATGTGAGAGAGACACATTGATTGTTGCCTCCCACACAACCCCGACAGTCCAGGGATCAAATCTGCAACCCAGGTATGTGCCCTTGAGTGGAATCAAACCCAGGAACCTTTGTTTTGAGGGCCGACACTCTAACCTCTGAGCCACACCAGCTGGGCTAGCCTGTACTTTTTAAAAGAAAGAAAGAACAAGAAAATGATAAATTGGCTTAATCTAGGTAGTGAGATTACAAGTTTCTCTCCCCTACCCGCCTTCCCTGCTACCCAATACATATTTGTTAGTTTGTACGTACAAAGAGGATTACGATGCTGCTGTTCTCTCCAGTTGGGGTGCACCTTCGCGGTGTGGGGAGCCTAGGCTGTTCTGCAGGAGGGGCTCCGGCCCACCCAGCTGGCATGAGATGAAGCATAAAAAGGAGGGAGCCAGATGAGCCGGCCGATTCTTTCTGCTTTTTGTTTCTTTACGTATTTAAATTTTCTCCATAATGATCATATATTAATTTTTTTTAATTTTATTTTTGGTACATGCCCTTAGTGGGAACCGAACCCGGGAATCTCTGGTCCACAGGCCAACAAAACCGCCCAGGGCATGTATTACTTTTATAGTTGGAAAAAGTGTTTAAATAAAGATCTCAGAAGAATCAGTTTGAAAAAGCCAGAGGGACAGTGTGGGCCTGTCCTGTCTCCTCAGCTGAAAGGCAGGGACAACTGGATGTTTTCAAAGCAAGAGGGGAGCAGAAATGGTTCCTGTGAGGGTGACACCCATCGCTTCTCGGGGGCCAGGCCGAGCGGTGATGCTCTGGGCCGTCACCTGTGAGTTTTCTAAAGGCCTCAAGCACCTTTCTCTGTACCAGTTGACAAACCACTCTTGAGATGAACAAACCACTCTTGAGATGATGAGTGGGGACGCTGGGCAGGGGAATGAGATGCCAGAGGCCTGGGGCGTGTCCCTGTCTCCATCTGCTTCCTCATCCACAGGACAGAGGGCTTGGTGGACTCCTTTTCTCAGGGACTGGAGAGGCTGTGCACTGTCAGCGGCAGCGTCCTGCACGGCATTGAGCCTCGGCTGAAGGACTTCCACCAACTCCTGCTCCACCCACCAAAGGTACAGGACCTCGGACAAGCAAAGTACCCCACAGTTCACCCAGGACAAGTGAATGCACTCAAACACTGCTGTGTCTTGACCCTGACTTGAGAACCACCAGGCAGGTGCCAGGGGCCTGTTTTCAGACCTCCATCTGCTAAATATCTGTCTGTTCTCTCTCTCTCTTTTTTTTTTATCCTCACCCGAGGATATTTTTCCATTTTTTGTACAGATAGAGTGGGAGGGAGAGAGAGGAAGGGAGAGAGAGAGAAACATCGACGTGAAGGGACACATCAAGTGGCTGCCACCCGCACGACCAACCAGGGCCGGGGACAAACTGCAACCGAAGTACGTGCCCTTAGCGGGAACCAAACCCGGGTCTCTCCGGACCGCAGGCCGACGCTCTAACCGCTGAGCCAAACTGGCCAGGGCTCTCTCTCTCTCTTTTTTTAATCCTCACCCGAGGATATTTTTACATTTATCCTCAGACAGAGTGGGAGGGAGAGAGAGAGAGAAATGTCGATGTGAGAGAGACATATCGACTGGTTGCCACCCGCACAACCCCAACCGGGGCCGGGGACGAACTGCAACCGAGGTACGTGCCCTTGGCTGGAATTGAACCCGGGTCTCTTTGGTCTGTGGGCTGGTGTTCTAACTGCTGAGCCAAACCGGCCAGGGCTCTGTCTGTTCTCTTAGAGGGAGCCTTGGGGTTGGACATTTTGCAGCCTCCAGATGACTCTCGCATTCTGAAATAGGGGTCATCTGAGAGCCCACGTTCATCGTCAGCCTGGCCTCTGAGTCAGGGGCCTCCGGCCAAAGGTCAGGGATCCCAGAGGATGGCCCTTGCTCAGCTCAGCAGCTCTGAGTGGTGCTTGGGGTCACACTGAGGAGGACTTACTCCATCACCATCCCCCCCATCTGCCTGTCCACCTGCCCAACTCAACTTAGCCCCTCCCCAAGTTTCAGCCCTTTGTTCTCCTTGGTGCTTCTCCTTAATGCCCCCCATGATCAACTGTACTATTTTTATTTATCAACTCGCTTATTGTCTGCCTCCCCTACCAAAAAGTAAGCATCACAATGGCGGGAATTCCGGAACAGCATGGTAATGAAAAGTGATGCGTTACGCTGCTTGTTCGGGATCAGAAAAGACCCTGTGCAGTCGGACAAGGCTGGCTCTGTCCTCGTTCTCCCAGAGTGCTCACAGGTGTTCCCTGAGAGTGCTGGTCTCGTCTCATGCATGCATGTCTCAGACGCTGAGGTACTCCCCCCTGTGGCTGGCAGGCTGAGACCAGAGTGCCCTGGGCTTCTGGGTGTGGTGGACCCCCTCACTCGCTCTGTGAGCCCTCATTGCCTCTTGCAGGCAGTACTGCCTCCAGGAAGCCCCACACTCCCTACTCCCCAAACAGTGCCGCATCAGGGAGCAGAGCCCTGGCCCTGGGAGCAGGGGCCACACTGGGCTGCACGGTTCCAGTGGTGGTGCTTTTGTGTTCACAGAAAAAAGCGATCCTGACCACCATCGGCGTGCTGGAGGAGCCCCTAGGGAATGCCCGTCTTCATGGCGCCCGCCTCATGGCCGCTCTGCTGCACACGAACACACCCAGCATTAACCAGGAACTCTGCCGGCTCAACACCATGGGCTTACTGCTGGTGAGTGGGCACTGCTGCCAGCCTCCCCTCCCCCATCTGTCTGTCCACACATCTTGCAGGGTCTGTGGCAGTGGGCAGATGCTGCAGGGCAGGACCATTGGGCAGACAGCTGGACCTCAACACCTGGATGAGGATCTATCCATGGGGAGTCTCTGGTTTGGTCCTGAAACAAGCACAGTCTACAGAGAAATCTTTTCCTGGACCCGCTCCAGGCTTGACCACACCCTGAGAACAGTGGAGCGAGCCTCGGTGTAGGCTCACAGAGGATTGTGCTGAAAGCAGACGGCAGGTTTCTGATGTGCTTGAGGGAGTGGGGACGATATGGGCCACGTCCTAGATCTTCGACATGAAACGTCCTAAAGGAGCAGCAGCTTGTGCTCACACGAGGCCCCCCTAGCACTTCTTGTCAAAGCCAGAGGGAACGCTCCTCCACTCAGCAGACACCCCCCAGTTGCCTGGAGGACACCCTGGGTGTCTGAGGAGAGGGCCGGGCAGGCAGAAGGGGGTGCTGATGGGAGGCAGCATCGCTCTGAGTGTGCACTGTGGGCAGAGGCAGTCCTAGGCTTCTCTTCAGCCTTGCCATGGGCTTCTGCTCCCAGGAGGCTGAAGTCTCCTGAAATTCAAATCGTAATCCCAGGAGGAGCCAGTCTTGGAACTGGGCCTGGAGTACTGGCCCTTACAAATTCTTCCAGCATTTAGAAATCTCAATGGGATTATGAAAGGTCTTTTCTTCCCTTAAAATTTTTTTCTCCCTCCCCCCCCTTTTACTTTGATTGTGGTAATAAAAAAAAAAGAGTTTGTAACATTGCCCTGGCCGGTTTGGCTCAGCGGTTAGAGCATCAGCCTGCCAACCAGTGAGTTTCGGGTTTGATTCCGGTCAGGGGCACGTACCTCAGTTGCAGTTTGATCCCCAGCCCTGGTCAGGGTCATACGGGAGGCAGCCAGCGGATGTGTCTCTCTTTCTTTTTTTTATCCTCACTCAAGGATATTTTTTCCATTTATCATCAGATAGAGTGGGGGGGGGGGAGAGAGAAGGAGAGAGAGAAAGAAAAACATCGATGTGAGAGAGACACATCAGCTGCTTGCCTCCCACATAATCCAACCGGGGCCAGGGACGAACCGCAACTGAGGTGTGTTCCTTGCCTGGAATCGAACCCATAACACATTGGTCCGCAGGCCTACGCTCTAATGCTGAGCCAAACCTGTCAGGGCAGTCGATGCGTCTCTTTCACATCGATGTCTGTCTCTCTGTCTCTCCCTCTCTCTCCTTCCCTCCCCCTCCCTCTCTCTCTAAAGATAAACAGAAAAATATCCTCTGGTGAAGATTAAAAAAAAATACATAAAATGTATCAGCTTATTTTTTTTTTTTTAATCCTCACCCGAGGATATTTTTTCATTGATTTTCAGGTAGAGTGGGAGGGAGGGAGAGAGAGAGAAAAATATCAATGTGGGAGACACATCGATTGGTTGCCTCCCACAGGACCACAACCAGGGCCAGGGATCAACTCGTAACCGAGGCATGTGCCCTTGACCAGAATCAAACCTGAGAGACTCTGGTTCATGGGTCGATGCTCTAACCACTGAGCAAACTGGCCAGGGCTCAGCTTAATTTTTTTAGTGTTTTTATTTTTATTTTTTTAGAGAGTGGAAGGGAGAGGGAGAGGATAGAAACATCTATGTGAGAGAGAAACATCGAAAGTTGCCTCCTGCACACCCTCTACTGGGGATCAAGCCCAAAAACTGGGCATGTGCCCTGACTGGGAATCGAACCGGACCTCTCAGTCCATGGGACCATGCTCAATCCACTGATCCACACCAAGTGAGCTTAGCTTAATATATACTTTTATATATATATATATATTTTTTCCCCCCAGCTCCCTGGGACCCAGAATTGAACTATGAGGGTGGGGCCCAGGAGTCTGCATTTCTTCTTTTAATCCTCATCCGAGGATATTTTTCCATTTATTTTCAGATAGAGCGGAAAGGAAGAAGAGAGAGAGAGAGAAACATTGATGTGAGAAAGATACATTAATTGGTTGCCTTCCACATGACCCCATCTGGGGCTGGGGATGAACTGCAACTGAAGCACGTGCCCTTGGCTGGAATCAAACCCAGGACTCTTTGGTCCATGGGCTGATGCTCTAACCGCTGAGCCAAACCGGCCAGGGCTAGCTTAATAATGTTTATGTGTATAATTAATTTAGTAGCATTAAGTACAGTCACAAACTATATAACCATCCCACTGTCTATTTGCAGAACTATATCTTCTCAAACAGCAACACTGCCCATTAAGCAATTGATCCCCATGCCCTCCCCCAACCCTTCCACCCACCACCCTACTTCCATTTCTGACTTTGACCACTCTAGGGGCCTCATACAAGTGGAATCACACAGTACTTGTCCTTCTGTGTCTTGCTTCATCCCTGTTGTAGCAGGTGCCCAAATCGTCTTCCTTTCTATGGCTAACTGATCTTCACTGTCTAGACAGAGACACTCTGCTCATCCATTCATCTGTTGATGGGTGTGCGGCTGCTTCCACCTTTGGTGTTGTGAACACGCTGCACAGGTCCTGCTTTCCCACAGCCACACAGTGACTCTGTGTGCAAGTTTTTGAGGAACCAGCTGTTTTCCACAGTGGCTGCACCATATTACGTTTCCACTACCAATATATGAGGGTTTCAGTTTCTCCACATCCTTGCCAGAACCTGTTTTTCAGGGTTTTTTTTATTTTTTATTTTTATCCTCACCCAAGGACATTTTTTTTTTGTTTTGCGTCTATCTTCAGATAGAGCGGGAGAGAGAGAGAAACATCAATGTGAGAGACACACATCGAGTGGCTGCCACCCACACAATCCCAACTGGGGCTGAGGACAAACTGCAACCAAGGTACGTGCCCTTATGGTAACTGAACCTGGGACACTCTGGTTCGAGGGCCAGTGCTCTAACCACTGAGCCACCGGCCAGGGCTGTTTAATAGTTTTGGTTGTGAATGTTAATGGTTGTGAAGTGATACTCATGGTGGTTTTGACTCGCCTTTCCCTAGTGATTAGAGATGGTGAGCGTCTCTTCATGTATTTTTGTTAGCCATTTATGTATTTTCATTGGACAGCTGTCTAAGTCCTTTGCCCATTTTTTAAAGGTACTTTTGTTTTTAAATTTTTATTTATTGACTTTTAGAGAGAGAAAGGGGGAGAGAGGAAAAAACATTGATTTGTTGTTTCACTTATTATTTATTACTGTTATTTTTTAAATCCTCACCTGAGGATATTTTTCCATTTATTTTCTGACAGAGTGGGAGGAGGGGAGAGAGAGAGAGACATCAATATGAGAGAGACACATCAATTGGCTGCCTCCTGCACAACCCCAACGAGGGCCAAGGACTGAACCGCAGCCGAGGTACGTGCCCTTGACCGGAATCAAACCCGTAACTCTTAGATCCAACGGTTGATGCTCTAACAAATGAATCAAACTAGCCAGGTCTCCACTTATTTATACATTCATTGGTTGCTTCTTGTATGTATCCTCACTGGGGATTGAACCCAAAACCTTGGTGTGTTGGGGTGACAGCTCTAACCGAGCTACCTGGCCAGGGCCTTTTGCCCATTTTTTTAATCAGGTTGTTTGGTTTTTCTGGTTGTTATTGAGTTATAGGAATTCTTTTTATATTCTGGATTACGTTTTTTTATGAATTTCTCTCAATTCTGTGGGTTATCTTTTCACTCTATTGATAGTATCCTTTGACACAAAAAAGTTTTTAATTTTCGTGAAGTCCAATTTACCTGTTGGTATCATATCCAAGAAATCATTGCCAAATTCACTTTCTTGGAACTGACCCTAGTGTTTTCTTCTAAGAGTTTTTTTTTTTTATCCTCACCCGAGGACATTTTTTGTTCAGATAGAGTGGGAGGGAGAGGTAGAGAGAGAGAGAAACATCGATGTGAAAGGTACATATCAAGTGGCTGCCACCCACACGACCCAGCGGGGACAAATTGCAACCGAGGTACGTGCCCTTAACGGGAACCGAACCCAGGTCTCTCTGGACCACAGGCCGATGCTCTAACCGCTGAGCCAAACCGGCCAGAGCTAAGAGTTTTACAACTGTAGCTCTATTAGGTCTTGTCTGTGTAATATGAGGTAAGAATCCAACTTCATTCTACTGCCTGTGGATGTCCAGTTTTCCCAGCACTGTGTGTGGAAAAGACTGTCCTTTCCTTGTTGAATGGACCACACTCTGCTGGTTCCTGCAGTTTTGTAGTAAGTTTTGAAATGAAGAACTGTGGGCCTAACTTCAGTGGGGATTTTTTTGGTCAAGATTATTTTGTCTTTTGGGGATCCCTTGTGATTCCGTATGAATTTTAAGATGAGTTTTTTCATTTCTACAAAAAAATGCCATTGGGTGGGATTTTGATAGAGATTGTATTCAGTCTGTAGATTACTTTGGGTGGTGTTGTCAGTTTAACAAAATTAGTCTTCCAGTCTATGAACACAGATGCCTTTTCATTTATTTAACTTCTTTCATCAGTGTTTTGTAGTTTTCAGTGTACAAGTCTTTTACCTCCTGGGTTTAATTTATTCCTGAGTATTTTCTTCTTTTGGATGCTGTTGTAAATGGAATCACATTCTTAGGATTTTGGATTGTGGATTGTTAGTGTAGTGATGCAGCTGGGTTTGTGGTTGAGCTTGTTTATTAGACCTAACAGTTTATGTGAAGTTTGTGGAGTTTTCATAGAAGATCGTGTCATCTGTGAAGAGAGATAACTTTACTTCTTTTTTTCCAGTCTGGATGCCGTGTGTTTCTTTTTCTTCACTAATTGCTTTGCTGGAACTTCCAGCACCGTGTTGGGCAGAAGTGGGAGATGCGTCCTTGTCTCGTCCCTGATCTTAGAGAAGCGTCCAGTCTGTCATCATTTCGTGTGGTGTTTGCTGTGGGCTTGTCATGGTACCTTTATCACACTGAGGAAGTTTCCTTCTATTCCTAGTTTATTAGTTTTTATTTTAAAAAATAGTTGAATTGCCCGGCTATTGTGGCTCAGTTGTCCCTGCACCAAGAGGTTGCCAGTTCTATTCCCAGTCAGGGCACGTGCCTGGGTAGCCGGCTTGATCCCCAGTAGGGGGCGTGCAGGAAGCAGCTGATCAATGTTTCTCTCATCAGTGTATCTCTCTCCCTCCCTTCTTCTCTCTGAAATCAATAAAAAAAATATTTAAAAAATTGTTAAATTTTGTCAAATGCTTTTTTAGTATCAGTTGAGGTAATTAATTATATGGTTTTTGTCTAGTCAATAGACATTTACTAAATTGATTGATAGATTTTCACACTGAACCATACTTGCATCCAAGAATAAATCCCACACATTCATGGTGCATAATCCATTTAACACGCGGCTGAATTTATTTTGCTAGTATTTTATCCCCCCCTTTATTGATTTTAGAGAGAAAGGAAGGGAGAGGGAAAGAGAGATAGAACATTGACTCACCACCTCCTGCATGCCCCCCACTGGGGATCGGGCCCACAACCTGGGCATGTGCCCTGACCAGGAATCGAACCAGCAACCTCTTGGTGCAGGGTCGATGCTCAACCACTGAGCCACACCAGCTGGGCCATTTTGCTAATGTTTTGTTGAGGATGTTTGCACCTGCCCCACTGCCTTTTCCCCTGCCCTGCCCCCCACACCTCTCTTCGCATGGGCAGCAGAGCCTACGACGTAGGCTGCAGGGGCCTCTGCTCGGTGTGAGGTGGCCATGGGGGTGCAGATAGGTGTGCCTGCATCACTTCTCCCTGCCAGTGCCCCCTACCGGGTCAGAGGTCCAGGCGGTGCCGTGTCCTCACTCAGCTTCCTCTGGGCTTCTGCTGGTGCAGCTCAGGTTTGGGTCCCTCCAGGTTCCTGTGGGCAAGTGTCCACATGTGTGCCTCCTGATTTCACGTCCCTCCCGAGTATTGGAGAATGGAACACACTTCCAGTGACTCATGGGTCAAGACAAAATCATAAAGGAAGAAGACTAATTCTACATAGTGGAATGTGTAGGATGTAGCCAGTGTGGATCTCACTGGGAAATACACAGCCTTTCAACACTCACTGGGTAAAGAGAGGGGCCACAAATGAGTTAAGCTTCTAATTTGGAGACAAAAAGTTGGACCTTCAGGCAGTGTTCAGATGAGAGCAGAGAGGAGGCTCTTTGCAAAGCTTTCTCACAGAGAGCGGATCTCGAGCTGTGCCCTTAGCACCTGCCTGGCTGTGGGAATGGTGTGCTGACCCCCTTGTCCCCCATCAGCAGAAAAGTAGCCCAGGGATTTTCCTCTGTCCTCTGTTTCCCCAGGACCTGTTTTTCAAGTACACCTGGAATAACTTCTTGCACTTCCAAGTGGAACTATGCATAGCCGCGATTCTCTCCCACGCAGCCCGGGAGGACAGGGCCGAAGCCAGTGGTGGGCCTGAGAGTGGGGTGGAGCCTCCGCCTGGAAACAGGGACTCCGAGACCCCCCAGCCTGCTGCCAGCCCCCCTGAGAACACCATGGTGGCCCATGTAAGTCCAGCGGTGTTCAGCGGGTTGCTGCTGTCGCACGGCCCCAGCCACATCGCGTGGACTCCAGGCTGATGTTGGCTGGCTGAGCCCAGCACTGCCCCTTCCTCCTGCATTGTTTTTTTCTGACCCTCACATGAGTTGCCCTCCTCTTAACCTGAGAAGAAATCACTGACAAGGGGCCTGAGAAAAACCGGGGATTTTGGACCTTTTGAATCCACATGCATGAGTCCTTGACATGCCTCACCTCTCCCTTCCTTCCCGCCACCGTGAGCCTCACGCTGCGCACCTCCAGGCCATGCTTGCCTGCCCGCTCAGCCCATTGGCCCACGAGGGTGGGGGAGTGTGCGGCCCTTGGACCCTGACCACTTAGCTTGTCCCCCAGCTGTTCCAGAGGTGCTGCCTGGTCCAGAGGATCCTGGAGGCCTGGGAAGCCAACGACCTCGCACAGTAAGAGCCACACGTGGGGTGGGGGGTGGGGGCAGGCGCCGAGGGCACGCTGCTGTGGGAGGGGTGCTTTCCAGAAAGGGCTCCTGCCACTGAAGGGGACAGCTGCTGGGCTGCCAGGGAGCCAGGACACTGCTCCCGCTCCTCACCCAGCCCTGGCTCCCTGGGCCTTTCTTCACACCTTCCTCCCTCACCCGTCCTGTGCCCACAGTGTGTCTCGAACCCCCATCGCAGGACCAGCCCTGTCTGTTACTGAGCCCCCGAACCTTCAATAGAGTGTCCAGGGCACTTCCTGCTTTCTCCTACCCTACCCTCCCTCTGGTGGTGTGAGCAGCTGGGCTCCTTCTGAAACACACAGATGGTATCACTTCTGCCTGAAAGTTGGACCATCCAGGTCCCAGGGTGGCCTGCAGGGTCCAGTGTGGGCAGCCCCTGTGTCCATGCCCCTCCCGCTCTCTCCTGACATCCTCACACCTTCCTCTGCCTGGCCCCGTTCCCCAGTTCAGGTGCTCACTCGCTCACCTTGGCTTCCTCTTCTGAGTGTCATCAGGTGGGGAGAGAAGGTGGTTGGGAGCGCGCTCCGCCCACCTGGCTCAAGGGCTGTGCTTGTGCTGTGAGCCTTTTGCTCCTGCCAGTCCTCAGGGTGTGAGGACACCTCCCGTTCCGCTGCTGGGTCCCGTGTGTGGTGGATGAGACGTTGAGTGCAGAGCCTGTGTCCATGGCAGTGTAGGGTGTGAAAGTGGACAGCAGCCAGGACAAGCACGCCCCGCACTCCAAGCTCGTGAAGGAAGTGACTTGAGCTAGAGAGCCCGTTGTAGGCCTCCTCCAGGCCCTGCGGCCCTCTGCCTCCCCGAGAGCTCGGGCAGCACTGCCGCCGGGTGCGTTTGTGCTTGAACTGCCCTGTCTCCTGCTGTCCCCTGAGCAGTGGGCTCCGGGCCATGCTGGGAGGGACTCTGGGAGTCGGGACAGCGGGAGGTGTCTGAGTGCAGGTGAGGGGGTGCAGCCCCAGATGGGCCGCCGGGCAGCAGAGGCCAAGCAGGCCTGACTGGTGTGGAGGGCTGCAGCATGTGGGGAGCACGAGCTGTGAGCCCTGCTGCTGCCTCTGTTTCTGGCCTGTACAGTGCGCGTGGGAGTCTTCTCTCCTAACACGCGTCCCCCAGGTGTGGCTGGGGTGGGGTGGGGTGGGGTGGGGTGGGGTGGCGAGGCCTGGGCCCGGCAGCTGCCCTCATACTGCCTTCACTTTCAGGGCAGCAGGTGGCATGAGACGTGGGAACATGGGCCACCTCACCCGTATCGCCAATGCCGTGGTGCGGAACCTGGAGAGGGGCCCCGTGCAGACCCCCATCAGCGAGGTCATCCGAGGTGAGCCTGCCCCACCCCGTCAGCTGGCACGAGTGCCAGGCCAGTCGGCCTGCGTCCCCCCCATGGGGGCAGATGCCTGTTCACTGGTCAGGACCACTGCTCACGCCCACCCAGGCACTGCCTAATCACCACGCCCGTCCATCCATGCTGCAGCCCGCTCTTCTCTGAACTCAGGCAGCCCCTCCTCTGGCCCTGCCCTCGGCCTGCCACCCACACCCTGGGCTTCCCCCTTCGTCACTCCAGGGCTGCCCACCGGGGCTTGTGCCCTTGCTCTTCCTCATCTCTTGTCCCAGGCCCACCACCTGCAGCCCTGGGCCTCATGGGCTGAGCTGGGAAGGGCCCTTGGTTCTCAGTTCAGCCAGGAAGGCAGGCAGCTCAGAAGGGCCCAGGCGTCTTCACTGGAGGAGGTGCTGAAAGGCAGGCAGGCGGGTGGACTGGGAGATGGCAGGAGGTGCAGTGTGACAGCCCGTCGAGGAGGGCCTGGGGGTGGGTAGATGGTGGCGACCTCCAGAGGCCAGCAAGGACAGCCTGCTGCAGCCTCTCGTGGGGCTTTGCAACAGACCTGCCGAGTGAGGCGGGTGCTGTGCTCCGAGCAGCGCGGCTCGGCGCAGCGCTGTCTGGAAGGGCCCCAGAGGGTGTGAGGTGTGGTGGGTGGAGGGTGGTCATGCTATCATGGGGTGGGGCGTGGGCGCTGCAATCCCAGAGCAGGTACAGGGATGTGCTGGCCAGTGTGTGAGCTGTGCTGCTGGGGAAGCAGCCCTGCAGGCGGTCGCGTCAGTCAGACAGCAGGTGTGGCCTCCCGGGGATGGCCACCTAGTCCTCCCCTTGGGTGGGCTCAGCTGTGGCAGTCCTGTGGTCACAGGGCAGGCTGGAGCCCAGGAAGTCTTGATGGAAGCAGGGGTGTTCTCAGTCAGTGGCCTCTGAGCTGGGGTCAGGCCTCCTGGTCCATCAGTGCCCATGACAAGGGCTGGGGCCAGGGAAGGCTCTGCAGGAAGGGGGACAGGCGAGTGAGAAGCTCTTGGCTGTGATCTTCCCGGACCCTTCCCAGGGCAGGCATCTCTCTGAGGCTCTGACCCCCAGGCACAGGCCTGCAGGCTTTGCTGGGGCTGGGCCATTGGCTGCTGTGTTACAGAAGCCGACACTGGGCTGTCTGTGTCCTGAGTCCTTCAGGGTCCCTTGTGCACCAGCTTAACTCGGGGCTCTGAGACCTGCTGAGGTTGGGCTCTGTGCCTGCACCACCCCTTGAGGCCTTATAGGACTCTTAGCAGCTCTGACTGTCACTCCACGGGCCCTCTGGGACCCTGCACAGTGGCCTCCCGGACCAGGCAGCACTTCCTTTGCAGGGCTCCCTGCAGATTGCCGTGGGCGCTGGGAGAGCTTCGTGGAGGAGACGCTGACGGAGACCAACCGCAGGAATGCCGTGGACCTGGTGAGGCTGGTCGGGCCCAAGTGTATGCTGCAGCCTCTGCTCTGTGTCCAGACACAGACCTCCTGCCTCAGGCCTGCGCTGGTCTGAGTGAGGGCCTCTGAGGCCCCAAGCAGAGCTGCTGTGGCCCCTTGGCCCTGTCCCTGTCATGTCAGGAGCCCTCGTGGGGTCTCGGAGGCCTCCTTGTGCCCAGACCCAGTGTGGGCTGCACCGAGGGAGCAGGCTGGGCACCAGCACTGGGAGCAGGCTCACACCCACCCTCTGCTGTTGCAGGTGAGCACTCACCACCTTCATCCCTCGAGTGAGGATGAGGACATGGAGGGCGTGTTCCCTAACGAGCTGTCCCTTCAGCAGGTGCGTGTGACCAGGCCCTTCACCGGGGTCGTGGCAGCACTTAGGCCCCTAGGGCACCCTGGGTGGCATCTCACCAAACTGCCATGGGAAACGGCCAAGGGGAGAGGTGCTCCTCCCGCCCCCCTGGCCTGCTCACTCACCCTGTAATGAAGGCCACCACCAGAGCCGCATACACTTGGGGATGTGGGTGAATTAAAAGTTTAATCGGTTGTTTGGATGTGACCACACATGAACACACAGCCTGAGTGGGGAGCAGCCTGAGTCTGAGGTCTCCGGCACCCGTCTCTCCCAGGCCTTCTCCGAGTACCAGGTTCAGCAGATGACGGCCACCTTCGTGGATCAGTTTGGCTTCAATGATGAGGAGTTTGCAGACCAGGACGACAGTGTCAAGTGAGCCCACCAGAACCAGCCTGGGCTGCAGTCACCTTCACTACCACCCAGCCGTCCGCCGAGCAGCCCAGCTCTGGCAGGCATCCTGCATCACTTGGGGCTACCTCCCTCACACGCTGTGACCCCAATTTGCTTTGTCACCACCTTCCACCACCTGGGCTCTGCTCAGTGTGACTAGGTCCCAAGCCTGCAGCTTGGTCCTGGAGGCTGTGCCCCCATTTCCTCAGCTGAGAGTTAGGAGTGACCCTGTGGGAGGGGCTTGAGCACAGCCTCTCAGCCCCCAGACATCCCAGGGAAGGCAGGTTGTCACTTGTCCAGACCAGACACAGGTGAGAGTCACCCCAGGCTGTTCCCCCTTGAGCTGGAGAGAAAGCAAGTGAGCCAGGGAGTGGGCCCTCACCCCAGGTGACGCCACACTCCTGGACTGGCCGCAGAGCCCTGGCCTTACGCCCTCGGCCCCCAGCTGCTGTGGCTGCAGACTCGGGCCTAGCACACCGTGGCCCTCACAAGGCGCTGAGCACCGATGTTGTTCTTTCAGTGCTCCATTCGACAGGATCGCAGAGATAAACTTCAACATCGATGCTGACGAGGACAGTGTGAGTCCCCAGCTCGGTGTTTGTTGGAGGTGGACGGGGACACAGCGGGAGTTGGGCAGCGGGAGAGGGTGCTCCATGGGCACCTGTCCTGTGAGGCTGAGGGCCAGGCCTTCGGGACCATGTGGGACTCGTGGACTCTTGCAGCCCAGCGCGGCTCTGTTTGAGGCCTGCTGCGGTGACCACATCCAGCCCTTTGATGACGACGAGGACGATGACATCTGGGAGGACAGGGAGACTCGCTGTGCTGCCCGGGTGACGGCCAGAGCCAGGTGCACAGCCATCCGCCCTTCTGAGCTTCCCCGAGGAGCAGAGGGGCCCCTGGAGGTGTGTGTGCCCAGTCCTGCCCTGGTTATGACACCCTTACTGCACTGACGATGCTCCCCCCTCTAGATTTGGAGGCCCTCCGGCCTCAGAGAGCTGCTCAGAGAACGGCCTGGTGTGTGGAGGCCAGGATGGGAAGGAAACCGACAGGGATGCAGCTCGGGCAGGAGCTCCTCAAGCCGCTTCTCCGAAGGACAGTCCCCGCGTGGAAGGTGGCTCAGAAGGTAGGTGCTCTGGGTGGAGTCAGGCTGGGCAGGGGGCGCGGTGATGGGAGTGGGAGCCCTGGCGGGTGCTCCAGGGCTCTGACACCTACTGACCTGTCTGCACGTGGAGCACATGGCCCTGAAGGCCTCTCCACGCCCCGGCTATAGGGACATGGGGCGGCAGCAGGTACTGGAGCTCAGACCTCAGCAGCTCCTCTTAGCCACCGTCATCACCCGTTCCATCGGGGAGGTCACCATTTCTTGTGGCTGTGACTGTGCTGAGGGCTCTGAGGGCAAGTGGGGCCAGGACCACTCATGTGTCTCCCCCGGCAGGTGCCACATGGACAGTGTTTGATGAGCCAGTGAACTCGACTGCTCCAGCCCCAGGAGTGGCAGTGGACGTGGGTTCCAGTGTGTGGGCGGCCAGTGCGCCCAGCACCTCGGCTCTGGAGGAGAAGGGCTGGGCCAAGTTCAGTGACTTCCAGCCTTTCTGCTGGTAAGGAAGGCGGGGGAGGCCGGAGTGACCATAGCACTTCTGGGCAGCGTCTCCCCAGCACGGCCTCAGCCTCGGCTTCATCCACAGCTCTGAGTCGGGGCCCAGGTGCAGCTCCCCCGGGGACATAGGACGTGGCGACACCCAGGGCAGCCTGAGTCAGGACCCGGAGAGGACCCGTGAGTCGCAGCAGCTCTGATGTTAGGGCAGCGGGAGGAGGTGCCCGGGCCCAGGATGGGTGGCAGGGCCTTTCGGCCACCCTTGGAGGGAGGGTCTGCCCCTGCACCCTCTGTGCTGCCAGGACCCCGGCCGCCTTCCCCTGCCAGCACGTTTGCGCCGTCCCCCTCGGTGGCAGTGGTGGGGCCTCCAGACCTGAGCTCCTGTCAGCCTCAGGGGCCCCGGGTGTCATGGCTACACAGGGAGGGTGGACTTGGAAGCCACGGGGGAAGACAGTTCCTTCATGGGTGGACACACCCCGTGGCAGGCAGTGCGTGGACAGGTTCTGTCCCCGTTTTTTGGGCTGAAATTTTTGCATGCCCACACGAGTTTGGGGACCCCGCCACCCTCACCAGTGTCACCTGGCCCCTGTCTTGCAGTTGGCCCTGCCTCGTGTGCCTGGAATGTGTGCGTCTCCAGGGACGCCCCTCTGGTGGCCTCCGACAGTGATGAGGACAGGCAGAAAGTGGCTGTTGCCTTAGAGACTGTCAGTGTGGGTCCCGGCCGGGAGGCCCCCCAACTGCCGACATCGGTCCCCAGGTGCGCAGGATGCGGTGGGTGCAGGCCCCAGGTGCACAGCACTCCCCTGGCCCAGGGGCAGGTGGACCCTGCTGCCCTGACGGCTCTGTGACTGCAGAGGTGGGCTCTGTAGGGAGGGTGTCGAGACAGAGCAGAGGACTTGAATGTCCCACTTCAGGGCCTGGGAATGGGCTGCCCCACCCATAGGCTCCCCTTGGAGAGAGTGGCCCAGGCCTGAGGAGTTCTCGCCCTGGTGAGCCAACACCCAGGCTCTGGGGCTGCCCCAGTGAGGGGAAGGGGTTTGGCTTTTATCCTGTTTGGTGTGTGCCGAGTCCCAGACATGTGCCCCCCTAAACCAGGCACCTTGGAAAGACCTGTCATGCTCAGACAGTAGGATGGGGGTGTGTTAGGACTTTGCAACTGAACCCTGAATGGGGGAGGGTATCCTCTGTGCAAACTGAGCCCCCACATATCCCACCCCTACACTCAAGAAAGTCCAGGTCTTTGGGATACATCAGTGGACAGATGGACTCTCCTGGCTGGGCAGAGGAGAGGATGGTGTGAGGAGCTGTTCTGGAAACGTAGGGAAGGAGAGGCAGCAGCCTGGTGGGGTAGGAGGGAGACGTGCTGCTGGAGCCGAGCTTGCTGGGCTGGCGCCCACAGCGGGGCAGGGAGCAGCCTGCAGTGTGCCTTCCCAGGAGGCGGTGTTCTCTGAGATGATGCATTCTGGATTTTCCCCACAGGTGGGGAAGGCTGGCACCTGGCAAGGCCCTACCCACTCCTGGTTCCCGCGTGAGGGTGGTGCTCTGTGCATCCCGTTGGTGGGGGTCCAGCTCTGGCTCACAGCATTCCATTCCTGTCCCTTTGGGCCCCTGCCTGGGTGATTGCAGCAGGGGCAGAGCCCCGAGGAAGTGGGGCCAGGGGTGTTGAGAGAGGGGCACAACAGCCCCGGCCCCTCTCTCAACGGAAGAGCGTGGGCCAGGTGTGGTGGCAAGCAGGCTTCTGAGGTTCCTGAAGGGATTTAGTTCCTTCTTAAAGAACCATTTCAGCTCTTAAGCTTTTTCCTAATCTCTCATCCCGAAAACCAGCTGTGCTCTGAAAAGGGGTTATGTCATCCCAGACATAAGCTGTCAGCTTCCACAGGGCTGTCTGCCTGCCCTGCCAGTGTGGGCTTGAGCCTTTCGAGGCCACGTCGTCTGCAGGCCCCAGTGTGCGCTTTCGTATGCTGCCCTGAGCACACCTAGCACAGCCTCCTCTACGAGGCTCCTCAGGACTCTCCTGACTGCTCCCTCAGGACCCCAGGGTCTTGGTGAGGGTGTTGACATCACGCATTGGAAGCAAGCACTGTGCAGGTGTGGCTCACCCTCCTGGGCTGCGGCAAGAGGGGCTAGGTTGTCCCTAGACCACCACCATCATGCCCTGGCCCTTTCCAGGTGTGGGAGGGCGAATTTGGGGTAGACATGGCCTGTGGGCTCTCAGAGAAGTGCCAGGGCCAGGTGTGGTCCACAGTGACAAGGGTCCTGGGGAGCAGGATGGAGGAGGGTGGGGGCTGCCTGGAGGAGGTTGGAGGCCTCAAGTGGGCAGGCAGGTGATCTCTGGAGTGTTGGGAATTTGGGGCAACCCAGGTAACTGAGCCCCTGCCTGCCACACAGGGCCACCAGCACGCTGCCAGGTCCCACCTCCCCTGCACTTGCAGAAGCCACCTCTACCCTGGCTGGCTCTGTGCCCCGAGAGGCAGCCACCCCAGCACTGAGCAAGGCCTCTCCTGTGCTGGCCGTCACCACAGTAGCCACAGCCAGCCCAGCCATCTCCACAGTGGCCGTTCTGGGGACAGTGACAAAGGACAGGTGAGCAGGTGGGGCCAGGGAAAGGGGACTGGACAGGGACCTACGGACACTTGGGCTCCAATCCCCCCTCTCCCTGCAGGAAGACAGATACACCACCACCTGCAGGAGCCCCATCCAATGGCCCCGTGTGATGCTGCCGCCCAGCCATGGCGCGCCCTTAATCGAAAAACTACCTGGTGATGCAATTTGTCTTTTTAATTTAATTTAATTTTAAAATAAATGCTGCATTGGTAAAGCTGGCAGTTGGACCCAGTAGGACGGCCCAGCTCGCATCACTCCTGCCTGACCCCACGCACAGCAATAAGGCTTCAGACGTGTGCTCTGCCTGCCAGAGCCGGGGGCCATGACTCTGAGGTGCCACGAGGACCGAGGGCGTGGTGGGTGCGGACGCCACAGGCTGCCAGTGTGTCTTTACCGATTTTTTAACAAACGCAGAAAGAGCCGTGTTTGCACTTTGTATCTAGCTGCAGTGAAGGGCCTCCCTGACTCGGGACGAGTGCATGTCCAGAGCCGGGCCAGCCACCCAGGGTCTTAGCTGCCCAGTGGCCCTGGGCGCTGGCCTTTGAGCCAGGATGCAAAATTTGACTGCCTTAAAAAAACCAAGACCCTCGGCCTGGCAGGGGTACCCCAGCCCTGGCACTCTGGTGCGTTCGGGCACCTGGCAGGAGCTGGCCATGGGCGTGCAGCAGGGAGGCAGGGTGGAGACTGGTCCCAGCAGTGCTGGGTGGGGGTCTGCACCCGGTAGGGGCAGGGCCATGGTCCTGAAGGCTGCAGGATTGTGTGATGTTGAGTCCATTTTTAATGTTCTGATGATCTGACAGGGCACCCAAATCCCGATCTCCCAATAAAGTTGTGTTATTCTTACTGACAAGCTCGTGTGTTGTTAAGCTGCAGGCCCTGGAGCCCCAACCTGGCCAACAAGGGTTAGGAGGTGTCTGCTGCCCAGGCCAGTCCCTGAGTCACAGCCGCATGCAACACCTGAGCAAACACTGCACCTTGTCTCCTTGGGGAGCGAGCTCTGCCCAGAGCTCCCAAGTCAGACAGAGCACGGGGGCCACCCTGGCCTCCCCTGTCCTCCGTGGCCAAGCAGGAGGGGCAGCTGGAGGGTGGAGTGACACTCACCCAGGGTCTGTTCCTGGCTACTGGGGGCTAGGAACCCTCCTTGCTCCAGGGTCCCTGCTTTGGTGACTTCTGGCCTCACTTCCCCCAGCCCCAGGGAACAGCCCCACAGCCCCACGGCCCCACGTGACACCAGGCGTGGGCCTCAGGCCGGTGGGTTTCCTGGGTGTTGGAAACCTTGTCCCACAGCCAACCATGTGGCCTAGGGAGCACCTGCGTGCCCACCCCCATGCCAGCAGAGGCCCTGCCTGGGCCCACACTTCTACTCCCCTACGCAGCAGGTGCAGCCTCCAGCTAGGCCCTCACGGCACCAGCCCCCACCAGGAGCCAGCAGTGACCCCCCCACACCCTGCCTGGTGCCCACCCCACAGGTGAGGCCCTGGGCCTGGTGGGACTCATATCTCAACGGGAAAGGAGCCCACCCACCCCAAGACACATTGGGAGGGGTTGGGGGTGGGACAGGCAATGTGGAGCAGTTCCCAGAACCAAGGCCTTCAGGTAGCAGCCAGCCCACTGTGCCTGCCACAGGGCTGTGTCCCCCTCCTCATGTAAACCCTCTTCCCCACGTCCTCGGGCACCCTTGTTTCCAGCCCACCCTCCTCAGCATCTCCAGTCCATCTGACCAGAGACCAGCACATTTCCACGACTTCATCCTTCAGCCCCTCCTGCCCAGTCTGTCTTCTGGACAGCTTCCTGAGGGCCCTGCACGTGACTGACGCCACCTCCCCTTAGGGAAACCACTCCCTCCTTCACCGGGGGGTCTTCCTCTCAGGCTATGCCGGCCCCAAGACCAACCAAGCCAGGGGATGGGTGGCCAGGCCCCAAGTAGGGGCCTGATGAAGCCACCCCCAGGGCCATGGACGCCCTGGTACCAGCACTCGGCCCCTTAACAGGGGACCTGGGCACTGGACAGAGTGGGTGAGCTGAGGAGACGCAGGCATGTGGCACGTAGTTCTCTTTATAGACTCTGCTTATAGGACAGGGTGCCTGCGGGCCGGCCGGGGCCACCACGCGGACGGGGCTGGGCTATTTACAGGCCCACCGTGAGGGCTGTACCATGGCACCTCCCGGCTGGCGCTCAGCCAGTTCTCCGAAATAAGTTAGAGCTGGCCGGGTGGGCGGAGTGGACAGGGCAAAGCGGGCAGGGGCTGTACACACAAGTTCGGGGGCTGGGCCTCAATACTGTCAAGGGTGGGGGCTGTAAACATGGCCGGGGGGCCCTGCCCACCCCTAGTGGTCTGTAACTGGACACAGAGCAGCCGAGCGGGGCTCAGGCGTCTGACAGGCAGCCCTGGATCTGGTCCACCCACTGCTGGGCTGATGGCACGTCCTGGGCACAGAAGTTGTAAACACGACGAGTCGTCTTCACCTGGGGAGGGCGGGTAGCTGACTGCAGTGCTTACCCCATGGAGCCCGCTGCCCGCCCACCCCCTCCCACACTAGCCACAGCTCACGTCAAAGAAGGCCTTCTCGTCCACGGTCTTGGGGGCGCCCATGGCGGGAGTGCCAGGAGCCACCGCTTCCACTTCCGCCAGGTCGATGACACCTTTGCACTGCGTATCCACGCGGTGGTCATAGTACCGCAGCTGAGGGAGGACAGAAGTCAGGGCGGGGTCCCCCCTCCCCCTCCCCACCTGTGCCCACTGACCACTCACCTGGTGCTTGGTCTTGTCTAGCACGAACCAGCGGGCCTTCCAGGGTTTCATGAAGGCCCCCTTCTTATAGAGGGTACCCTCATAGGACCTATGTTTATGGCGGAACCAGGGCCAGGCCAGCCATCAGATCCCAGCCCAGCCCAGCCCAGCCCACAGCACCTCTGGCAGCAAGACCAAGCCCCTGCCCCAGACTGAGCCTGCACCGGCGCATTGGCCAGGGGGCCCCGAAAAAGCCCTGGAGCTGTACCCAGAAAGTCAGAGAAGGGCCCCCCCACCTATCTCGTGACAGACACATGGTCCCACATCAGAATCTCAGGGTGCCCATGACGCAGCCCCACACGCAGGGCACATGCTGCAGGCGGGAGGAGCGCGCAGAAGGCAAGTCTGCGGAGGCAGCCGGGCAACGAGGCTCCCCCAAGACAGGGTGGGACGCAGTGTGCCAGGGCCTGGTCTCACCTGGAACCTACTTCGACTTCACCTGGCAGGCACCTTGCCTCCTTCACAGCACCCACAGCCTGTCTCTGCTCTGCCACCACCTTGGCCAGCTGTGGTCACTGGTTCTACATCCCAAACCCTTTCCAAGCCCACCTGCTGCTCTGGCAACTGTGAGCTCATCCTCAGGCCACCATCGTATCCTCCCCGCAAATCTTCACCTAAGGATGACTGGAAGCTCCCAAAAGGCACCTGCCTCCTGAGCCCCCCAGAGCCCCCAGCTTGGCAGTGCCCACACCACACCTCACACCTGTTCTCACGCTCGGCTGTCTGGAACTGGCTGTACAGGGTGCTGGTGCTGCGGCGGGCGGCCTGGCGGGAGCCAGATGTGGTGGAGCCCCCACTCTGATCACTGTCCAGGCTGAGGCTCAGGGTGGAGCCCACGGGCCCCTCCTGCAGGTACACACCCAGCGAGCGGCGGTGGTGGGGCACACTTGACACCAGCAGGGAACTGGGGGTGCCCTGGGGGCAGAAGACGGGCTGTGTCAGGGCCAGCAGGCTCCACCTCCTCCTGCAGCAAGTCCACCCAGCCCCCCAGCCCCGCCCCGCTCACACGTCCATCTGGCCGGCCTTCAAGGCGCTGCGCAGCCTTCACCCGATCCCAGGTGTCCTTCCAGCGCTCAGGGGGTCGGCCCAGCTCTGTCTCCAGCCGCTGCAACTCCTGGGGGAGAATTAGTGAACTAACATTATTCAGAAGAAAATACCCAGCCTGGAACACAAAAAAGCAAAAGGAAGGAAAATACAGAAAGTGAGAGAGTAAGAAAAGGTCTAACATGTATAACCGAGGACAGGAGGAGGCAGGTGGAGGGATGAGTAAGGTCCATACTTAGTCGGTTGCAGTTTGGCCCTGGCCCTGGTTGGGTTATGTGGGTGGCAACCATTCGATGTGTCGATGTTTCTCTCTCTCTCTCTCCCTCCCTCCCACTCTATCTGAACAAAATATCAAAAAATGTTCTCAGGTGAGGATTAAATATATATATATTTTTTTTTAGAGACCACAGCTGGAAGTTTTTAGTAAGAGGCATCACACAACATAACCAAGAGCACCCCAAACACCAAACCAAAGGATATTACAGAAAACAGCTGAAATACGAAGTGAAAACCCAAAAACCTACAAGAAAAAATACATGCTCTCTTCAAAACACAATTGAACTGCCAGCTAACTTGACACGGAAACAGCTGGACTTCCACCTCTGGCTCAACAGTGACCAGTCCCTGACCAGTCACTATAAACCACCATGGACTGACGAGAAGTGCAGCCCTGAGACCCTAAGACAAGGTGACACCAGGGGCCACAGCTGTATGTGGGGAGCTAGAGCCCGAGCAAAGCAGGTTTTGCTGAGCTGAGGAGGCAGCAACGGGAGGCTGGGGGATGCGGACGTACCTGGGTCCGCAGGGTGGCACTTGATCTGAGTAGAGGGACTGCCCCAGAAGAGCTCTAGAAATCCACACTGTGGCCTCCTGAGTGTTTGGCCAAAGTTAACTGCCATTTGCCAGGCAAGATGTTGCCAGACCTGAATAGCTACTAGGAAGCTGTGAGCTAAATCCAAATTCTGGAGATTATGTGCTGCAGGGAGAGGAAGGAATGCCGGACACCTAGAGTGGAGGGTCCTTGCCAGACACACCGAACCTTCAACCGAAACCCCGGGGAGGCCATGTCTTTGGAGTAGGGTTTCTCTGAACCTAGAGTGAGGGTGTCTCGAGATCTGCCCTACAAAAGCTGAGACACAACCCCAGGAAAAATCCAGCTGCTACAAACTCATTAACTACCTGCAAGAATAAAATTCAAGGTTCTTTTTTTTCATCCTCACCTGAGGATATTTTTCCATTTATCTTCAGATAGAGTGGGAGAGAGGGAGACAGACAGAAACACTGACGTGAGAAAGACATATCGACTGGCTGTCTCCCGCACGACCCTGACCAGGGCTGGGGATGAACTGCAGTCGAGGTCCGTGCCCTTGGCCGGAACTGAACC